AAATATGCCTAGCATTGCTCAGGCGAGCCCAACCCGAAATTTCGTGGACTTGAGCAATGTTTTTTTAATTTTGATTTGGGTCTGGACTTTATATTTTGAGCCCGAATTCAATTCGGGGCTTAGCTTGGGTTGATATGAATGAAGTCTGAAGCCCAACCCGAGCCCAAAAATATTATATATATTTATAATTATACTTAAATCACAAGATTGTAGTACCTAATTTGGTAGTGTTTTGTGATTTATGTTTAAGGTTTTAAGTTCAAGTCATGGTGCAGCATTAATAGTTTTATTTTTTACACACAAATTCTTCTAAAGTGGGCTTAGTGCGGGCTCGAGCTGGACTTGAATTGAAGATTTTCTATATGAACCTAGCCCGAGATGAGTGCCAAGCCCGTTCAACCAACCCGAGTTCCAGCCCTACTGCTTAGTGCAACAACTTTTTCTCAAATAAAATTCAAAGTCACATATAAAGTTTTGGAGTTAGAATATGAAAAGCTATAGTGCCGGTCTTCATTGTTCGTTTATAATTTAGATAATGTATCATCATTGTGGGCCTCATGCAAGCCAGATCCAGGATTTCTTAATGGGTGAACTAAATCAAAATATATCCAAGATCCAGGATTTCTTAATGGGTGAACTAAATCAAAATATATCCAAGTCTAAATATAAAGTTACAAATGTATATATATATATATATATATATATATATATATATATATATATATATATGATATACATAGCATTATACGGAATGTTAAATTAGTAAAGTAAGTTATAAATATATAATATTAATTATTGTCCATGTGAGCTTTCCATTTCATTGTTGTATACTTTCGAGATCCGATCATTGGTCAATAGTTGTCGTACACTTTTGTGCCCCAATCTCTCTCCATATATCTCTCTCTACAAGTCTCTATGGCCCTGTTTGGGGGAGCTTTAAGTTTCTAAAATTCCTTCCACTGAATCGATTTTAAAGAATTCATTTTGATGAAAGAAATTTAAAACAGAAAAGTTGTTTGGTGGATAAATTTTTTGAAGCTCTTTTAACTATTAACATAATTTAACTTGACAATTATATCCTTAATAAATTATATGAATAGCAAAGAGTTAAATTGGAATGTACAAAGAAGTGGACAAAAAAAAAACATAATTAAAGTGATGGAGTGAAATTGCCAATGATACAGCAACGATTAATTGGCATATTGAAAATCTGGGTATACAAATTTAACCCAACCCAATCTACATGCTAGAAGTTTTTTTTCTTTTAATTTCCTTGACTACATGATAGAAGTTGAAAGAGATAGAAAAAAGAAAAGGAAAAAAAAATTAAAATGAAAGAGAGAGAAGGTAGCAAAAATATCTCATTTTTATTCTTATTTATAACTATAAATCACTTTAACAACGGAACAGGTAGCCTTCAAAAAAGAAAAAAAAAATTATATATATACATATATATATATATATATATATATTGTGTGTGTATATATATATATATAAATATATATTTCAAGAGAAAAATAAGTTATTTGGAATTTTACATAGGGTTAAATTTTGGATGAGAATTTATAAATCTTAGAACTTTTCAGACTTTGAAGTCAAATAGGAGTCAATAGTAATTTTTCATGCAACTCCTCAATCTCTTTGTTCTTCCTTTATTGAATCATTTTTGCAACAATATTTTTTTTCAATAAAGTTTTATGGTAATTTTGCTTAGCATTATTTTTTTATTTTTTGGGTAGAGAACAAATGAAGAAGATGATACAGAAAGAGAAATATAAAAATTTGCAATGAAATTCAGAAATGAAAATAGGTTAAATAGACATACACATACACACACACCCACCCCAAACCTATCGGATAAACCTTAAAGATCATCACAGGGAATATATATATATATATATATATATATAATAGGAAAAGTAGTGGGATTTCATTTCATTACAAGTTGGCGTAAAGGCTTTTACTTCCATACTTGGGGCATACGTATATGGATGTAAACCCTAAAGCAAAATAACAGAAATTTAAACTTCATCTTTTTTTATGTTTCCCTAGCGTGGATTTTAGGCTAATTATATATCTTTGGCTTTCCTAATTTCTTTATTAGTTTATTATAAATAGAGGCGTCAACACACAACACAACAACGCCATCTCGAAGAAGAAGAAGTATGCATGTCATCGCAATTGAGAACAACATATGGAATAAGAATCGCTCCATTGACAACAATTCGAACAAACCCTTCAACCATCTTGTTTGTTCGAAGCGTTTTCAATGGAGTAATTCTTACTCCCATTGCTAGCTGTCATTAATTTAATGGCTCTAGTTTCACTGCAGGAAGACTATCCCACTCATGCATGCCACGTTTGTTTGTTTCTCGAGAAAAGAAATCCAAGAATCGATTGAAGAATTGAGCAGAGGGGTCGAGAAAGATTGACATCCTCTATTTCAGATTTGGGCTTTCTCAAAGAGACGGACAACGGAGACGACAAGTACCCATTCGCTCATAGTCATCGTCTTCGACATGGAAGGTGGTGGTGGTGGTTGTTCATGTTACAGTTTTTTGGTCTCATCACACTATAATTTCTCTTCCTTGGCAATGAAGATTGGCATATAATGATGGGTTTGCAGATTGCCTGTTTTTTTTTTTTATTGTGAATGATTATCATATTGCTCAATAACCAGTCCGTAGGGGGACAGGCAATCGGTTATCTATGTTCACCATATAGAATGCATAGAAATAAAAATTATACGATATGAGCTTAACTCAGATTCGGTAACAAATGAGCTTAGAATGGTGCAGGTTTGAGATCATCCACTATATACCAAATATTAAGCTAGCCTAAGCCCCATGTTACCAGCCAAAAGTGAAACCTGATTAAACCAGGTGGGGGTAGTAATTTTCTATTCATCTCAGTGGATCTAATGCAGCTCTTCCAGCAAAGATACAGCTCCATTAGCCTACATCACGGAACTTTAGTCTTGGATAGAACATTGATCACTTCATCAAAAACCCATCACATGCAATATCTGATTTAACTAAAGATGATTGGACTTTTATGCTACCTTGATTCCCCTCATCAATATTTGGCCTTCCATCAAAATAATTACTTCAGCTTGTCAATATCATCATTTTCGGCCATATATTTGCAGCTACAGAACTCAATGCAGAAGTCCCATGTTAAGGTTAATTAGTTACAGGTCAAAGCTCCCATATTTTCCCATTAAACAAAAACAAAAGAATCCTATATTCTCAATCTGACCAAAAAGGTAAATTCATCCATATACATCATAAATGTATTTCCTTTTGCATCGTGATTCTACCAGACATAATAAATGATCTAAGAGGATGGCCTTGACAACCACCTATTCAGAAAGGTGGCAAACTACAGAGTCAGTAAGGGTTTAAATTACAGACTGATGACTTTTCTTTTCTTTTCTTTTCTTCTTCTTCTCCTTTTTTTTTTTTTTTTAAGAAAAAAAAAAGGTTAATACCGAGACACACCCACAAATGCCCACAATGGGGCTTGAGTCGCTTGACTGATCACCTCCCCTTTGAGGGGGAGGTGATACCAGCTGGGCTAATGGCCCTGTACCTACCAATGCTTTTAATAGCAGAAGTTTTTCAGATAAGGAAGACTTAGCAAGGATGTTTGGATATTAATTTAGCAAAATCAGAGTAGAAGCGAGAATGGCTATAATTAATTAATCTGCTACCTTTTTGGGTCTTCCATAAGAGAAAAAAATGTCAAATAAAGGAACCGTGATACAAGTGACGACAACCGATAGTCGGTTGGCTCACAAGAGATGTGGGACCCACCACGGTCCAAATTAGGGGACAAGTACAAAAGTCAAGCGTCAGACAACTCAGACCATATGAACATCAATCTATGAGTTCCCAGCTTGTGTTCTATAATAGAAATGGTGTAGTGATAAATGTCAGGATTTTGGAATAAGGCATTCCTTCAAAGCGACCTGTCAGTTTTCAGAACTCGCGTGCAGTGAGAATTAGGGAACATGTTTCACACATTAGGGGACAGGTACAAAAGCTAGTCCAACAGAGTAGAACGATCTTGGGATCAAGTATTTTGGGTTGTTGTATATGAAGGGTGAAGTTGCAGTTGATGCATTGCTCGATAAAGATGTATTAATTAAAACAACAGGTATAAACAACCATAAGCATGGTCCATCATAAAAAAAATGTTGGGCAATCAATAAATTTTTTGACAACTGGTGTGGCTCAAATGAAGTTTTAACAGATGAGCAGTAAGGTTGGGGAAAAAATAAAATAAAATGTGATGCAAGACAACTTTACTGAAGGTCATTCAGATCTTATTATTAGTAGTCCTTCTTTTGGGGTAAAAGTAGGTGGGGAAGGTTTTAGGATTTAGAACAGATGTAAGAAAGAGGACAGTTTAGGTTTTAACTAGGCAAGGAAGCCTAGACTTCCAGGACTCTTATAGGGGCTGTGGAGAGTAATCGTGTATGGTACCTTTGCTGATTTAGGTTCTTTTCAAGTGTTGTGGTTAAATTACTGAAAGAGGGATGCGTTAGTCTTTTCTACAAGGGCTTAAAGGGTGCAATAATATCTGGCCATGGGCTTTTAAACTTAAAGGCATGAAAGTGAAGTACAAATTTGAGACAGGTAAAAGAAGCAGCTAGGAATCACTCCTAGATTTCCCTAGCCATCACACTAATAAGGGTTTGAGTTGCAAAAAGCAATCGCCAAAAGGCACAATTGCTGAAATTTTTCTTTAAAACTTGTTTTTATAGAATCAGAAGTATCACATAATTATACATATATAGACCTCTAAGTAATCCTTGGTCTCTAACACATGGATGGAGGGAGTATAGGACCAGGGGTGGCACGTGCCCCCCTGAATTTTTTTTTTTTTTAAATTTTTTTATACAAAGTGTCACTGAAAGTGCCCCCTCAGAATTTTTTTAACCAATAGCTTACTACCCATGTACATCATGCGCACCCCCCCCCCCCCCAAACCTCCGTCCCTGATCTAACATGACTTTGTCTCCATATTACAGGATTTTGAGATATATAACTGATTTAGGTCCACAAATGAAGACTCCTGACTTAGAATATGACATATAGAGTATAGACCACTACTACGGCACAAAACCAGCAAATTTACAAATTATAAAAAATATTTTTTGACTCCTAGAACTCGTTAAAACATAAAATAAACGGAATCACCAGCTTACTAACTTCAGAAAAGCATGAAGTATGATTCATCTTTACTCAAATTAATTATGCAGAGTCACAAGTAGGTCCCTCCTAGGCAAAACCAACTTACAAGATTTTTTTTTCTTAAGTTGCTATTTCTAGAGCTGCAATACATCAAATTGATTTAAAAATAAATGCATTAGTATAAGTACACCAATGGTAGACAAGGTGGGGAAGGCCTATGACAAAATTTATAGCAAATGGTTAATGAAGGTACTAAAAAGGGTATGATAATGGGTGGCAAAAACTAATAAATGCACAAGTAAGGAAGAATGATGCCCACATTATGGGTAACGTTAAGGAATGGGAAGACCAAAATTAGATGGGTTGAAGAGTGAATAAACATATCATTATCTCTGATCTAATTGAAGTTATAGTCTTAGATAGAGCAGAATGGTAAAACAGATTTCATGTAACCAACCCCAAATAGATGGATTAATGCATTGTTGAGTTCATTGAGTATGCCTATAGTTTCTACATCTTCATTTATTCGTGAGTATGTTTATAGTTATATCAAAATCGCAGCTAAGAGCATTCTCATTGTCCCTTGGTGTCATCGGATGATGATGATAAGGCTTGGACTGGTTTGGGGATTTTGTAGGGTTTTTTTGGAGAGAGGGGAGGGGAGGGGAGGGGGGAGGGGGTGTTGAAGAGAGAGGTAGAGAGATAGGAAGGAGGTGGTCGGCTGCAACGGTGGTGGTGGCAGATTGGAGGAGGTGGTGACGGGAAAGAGAAGGTAGAGAGAAATATTGGGTTTTTCAAGGGGATAATTTGGTCTTTTCAAGTTGTAACAGTTTTTCTTTAAAATAATGTTAAATCAACCAAGGGCAAAAATGACAATTCATACAAAAGTAATGTCCATTTGTTGTTTAACGCTGACAGGGGTAGTCAGTGTGATGTAGGCCATTCCGACCACCGTGTGTAATTAGGGCATAACCTCAACAGGTGTGAGTGTAATTCACCTAATTGAGCTTCAATTTTCTTCTTATGCTCTTCTAATTCATTTTCAAGTTAAGTAGTTTGTTCTTATCAAAAGTAGTAATCTACATGCTATTATAGTTCAATATATGGGAAGTAATATTGAATTTTTTTATGAGCATTCGTATTTGTTCATTTGCATTTATATATGTATGAGATAACTTTTTGTACAATTTATTTTGATTGCTAAGAAGAAGCGAAAAGATACATGAATATTTAGAATTCAAGGAACCGATGCCTCAAATTGAATTGAGCCAGCAATGATGTCAATACCTAAGTCTCTATTCTCTCAACTCCATGTATCACTTGATCCTTTTCAAGCGAAAGAATCTAAGGTTACAAATAGTTAATTGTATCTCACTAGCACATTGCATGTGTAAAGTAAATGCTCAAGTTGCAGAGTATGATGAAGCAAACTCTGGTTTTCAGGAAGCTAGTTCCTAATAAAGATAACTACAGGTTAGATAAACTCTGGTTGCCGTCATTATTGTTGTTGTCATTGTTGTTTAATTCTTATAAAAGAGACTGATTTAACACATTGCTGCATAAGAAGTAAGGAAACATGACATCATATGATCGATGTTTATTTGATTAAAGGTATAATATAAAAAAGGAAGAATGAGAATTGAAACTTCATTCTGGTTAGTAATTCCAGGAAGCGAGAACCACACAAATAAATACTTAAAGATGCCACCCTTAAGATATGATAACTATCCTATGCATGTGAACTTGGTATTTTTAATGTGATCATGCTGCAAAAACCAACACCTTGATCAAGATGTAACACCAACTAGCATAATAATCTAGAGATTTATATCTTATAAATTTGAAAGGTTAAAGAGAATGAAATTAAGATGATAACAAACTTGTACCTGCAAGAGGGATTCTTCAATGCGAGGATTAACTTGCCTTTTTATATAGAGTGCCTCCCTTGCCAACAAAACCTGGGCCCGAAAATCCTCTCTTGCATCCTCGTGCCACTTAGAACACTCGGGTGTTCTACCGAATGCAGGATCATAGGAATGCTTAGCAACCTGCATCACCCAATTCAGCATTTCCGACAAAGAAAAGGATTCTCGTTTCCTCTTTTGAGAATTAGATACTTTCTTATCACTACCTGTATCTGAGACCACCACACCATTATCATTATCGACACAAAATCTTTTGTCATCATCATTAGGAATTCTCTGTGCATTGTCATGCACTTTATTAATGTTTCCGGCATCTGACAAATGCATTTCCCTATTATAATTATCCGAATCAATGTAGTCGGCATTTTTACTAGATTCAAATTCAACAACTTTACCATCTTTGTGCTTCAGTGGAGATCCATTCGACAATATACCTCTGAAATCCCTCTCTAACTCCAACGATAACAAGTCCAACTTCCCAACAACTTCACTCTCTCCATTTTTCAAACTCTTATCTTTAAAGACTCTCTTTACCCATTGATCCAAACCATCCAAATATGTCAAATAAACCAATTTTATTGACACTACAACCCCAACATCCAACCTGCACTCTGTTGCCACAGGAGACCACAAACCATTCTTTGTCACCAAATCAAACCCACCTCTTTTTTTCACTGCCCAGAAAAGTTTAAACAAATCCACAGATCGCCCATCACCAAGCAATGCCGGAATGGGCCGAACACATTTCTTTACAGACACCTCTCTCAAAAAAACCAAAAGCACTTGGTCAAACAACCTTCTCAGTCTATCACTACAACCATCAACACCACCACCTTCAAATGAAGAATCAAGGTCAAATTCAAGATTGTTTAAGGCAAACCCATCTTTTAAAACTGACCATCCTGCCATTAACTTCAAAAAAAAATTCACCTTTTTTTTTTGGAGGGCACAATTAAGGTACAACAGAAATGAATATATTTACTTTGAAAAACAAACAGGGAATAAGCAATCAATCAAAGTTGATTAGTGTTTAGGGCAAAAAAAGAGGGCGATACATTCTATTGCTATGCTCTGTTTTGTTTATAAAAATAGTTACCTCCTAGGAGCGTTTGGCTTGCGAAGTCACCAATTGTTTTCTCCAACATACAATGGAGACAAAAGGGTGTGACTGTCTGAGTGAGAAATTGCTGAAATTTACGGAGGGTTTTAGATGTGTTCTGAAAATGAAGAACAGAGTGGTCGTTTGCCAGGACAAGATGGGGAACAAAATTGTAGGGAGTTTTGAAAATTGAGATATATAATGGTTAATAGGTTATATATAAGCCTATGGAATATGTAATGTTAATAAATAATATATATAAAGAGCATCAAATGTAGAGAGAAATTAATTTATGAATCCAAAGGAACAGATGCTAGAAGAATCCAAACCTCACCTCTATTATCATTATTATTAGGGTTGGAAATGAGATGTTCGGATCGACTGTTTATTAAGTAAACGTGTTTAGTTCGATTTTTATTTTTAAATTTATTTATTAAATGAGTAGATCTAAAATATTGTTGGGCTAAATTTGTTGATGGGAGTTTGAACATGAACATGATATCCATGTTTATATATATATAAGGAATTAAGTCCGAGCTCAATTTTTCAAGTTCATCATAATCAATTGAGTTAAAATTGAATTCACAAAAGAGCAAGCCGTCTTAACAAATTCAAACTCAACGCGATTTGCTTCAATCCTAATTATTAGGGTGCAAACTCTCAAACAAAACGGACCAGTTCGCTCTGGCCCGTCCATCCAACACGAATAAAATTGGGAATCAAACGTCCAAGTTATAAAAACTTTTCATCCCAAGCCTGTTAGGTTACATTGGAATTGGTTATATGATGCATAAAATAATTTCTAAAACTAAGTGTAAGCTTTTGAAAATTTGTAAAAAAAAAAAAAAAAAAAAAAAAAAAGAAAAAGAAAAAAAAATTCTTCAAATGATTAGTATGCAAAGAATTAGTTGGGGAAAAAGGCTTGACTGTAATTCTGAATTCTGAAATATATATATAATATTTGAAAAAAAAAAAAAAAAAGGTAGAGTAAAAATTCGAATTCACTCGATTGGTGGCACCTCATTTTAAGACTAAATCTAATTAAATTCAATTGAGAATTTTCAATCCAAACCTAATCCATATTGTAAAATTAATTATCCAAACTTACGAATCATCATAATCAGTTCACATTGTGGATTGGACACACGATTCGAGATTTTATACCTGGACTGGACTAAGCTAGGGCAAGCCTTTGAACCTACCCATTCCATTTGAGTTGCAAATTTAATGATACCAATAAAAAGCACATGGGATGCACTGAGCTATGACTGTAAAATATATATATATATATATACAAAGAACAAAAAACAAATAAGGAATGGATAAATCACACACTTATTCCTAACTTTATAAATAAATAATTATTTTCTCTCAAATACCATAACTACCCTCATAATTATGGCAAGATCTTTTTGCCCCTCTCTCTCGCCAATTAAGATTTTTTGTCTCCCATATTTTTTTTTGTTAACCCCCCTTTTTCACTTGCTTCCAACCTCTCTCAACTCTACCTACTTTGTATTAAATATCTTTTTCCTCTCTCATCAGGGTTTGATATTGGTCTTTATAAATAAAAATAAAAGATTTCACAAATAAAAAAATAACATAGTTCCACAAAATAATTGATATTGATAGCCGTGGAAGCATTGAAAAACTATCAAAAATTCATGACCCATTAAATTCCTTCCAAGCTAACGGTGATCGATAGAAATTTTTTCTTTTCGTCTATACTTTGAGTTTAGTTTGGATTTTTTTTTTTTTCTCTTGTAATTTTTAAGAATTATTTTGCAATGTCTTTGAATCTTTAAGTTTACATGTTGATAATTGTTGAGGCTGAAATTCGCGCAATCCGATACGATACAGTTTTCCTGCAAGGAAAAGAGGAGAAGATCGATGAACCTTGACGGAATCGGTGTGGTGCCTGCCAAGAGCTCTCCGACGATCAAATTAGTCACGGAAGTCTAAAAAGAAGGCATGGATTAATAATAGTTTTTACGTCGTCCCTTCTTTAATAGCTTGGTGGCCTATTTATGACTGTCGATTGGAATCAAAATCGTTCTGCCGATGTCGATGGTTGATCTTATCTTCCGTTTGTGCGAAATCATAGGAGATTTGTTGCCAGATTTGTCGGGGATATGATTTAATCCTTTTGACCTCCTCCAGTTATAATATGATTATTCTTACCTGTTGAACCACGTCAGATTTGATTTCATTATCCTTGATAATGAAATCTAATCACTCTTATCGAGGGTAGGGTAGGTTTATATTTTTCCCTATCAGTTGCCCCCCATTCCCAAGCTTGCACGTCTAGTTTTGGGAATGTAATAAATAATAATAATATTTTTTATTTTTTTTTCAACCCCTATGAACAGTACCCGCGGGCACTATTCACATAAATAGTAACTCAGGATTTTTTTTCAACCCCTGTGAACAGTACCCGCGGGTACTATTCCTGTGGGCACTATTCACGTGAATAGTAACTCAGGAATTTTTTTTTTTTTTTTTTACCCGAGGGAACAATACTTTTCCTTTGATAAGGGAATAAATTGTATGAATTTCACTCCTTAATAAGGGAATTGAACTTTACGAGTTTTACCCAACTCGTCCATTTAGTAAAGGAATTGAACTTTACGAATTTTACTCAGCTCACCTCTTTAATAAATGATTTTTATTTACTATCCCTTATTGTGAGGGGATATTAATTACGGGATTCATCCAACCCGGGTCCTTGTAGTACAGGACATTCATTTATTATCCCTTATATTACGGGGATATGGATGACGGGATTCATTCAGCCCGGGTCCTGATAATGCAGGATATTTATCCCCTATAGTCCAGGGATATGGATGACGGAATTCATTCAGCCCGGGTCCTTGTAATACAGGACACTCACTTACTATTCCCTTATAGTACGGGGATACGGATTACGGGATTCACTCAGCCCGGGTCCTTGTAATACAGGACACTCATTTACTATCCCTTATAGTACGGGGATACTGCACGTATAAACTAAAAGGAATTTTATTAAAGATCATCATTGCCTCAAGGCTTATTAAAAACAAAATAACACATGATAGAGTTACCCTCCATTTAAAATGATTAACCAACATGCCCCCAGTCTTTATTGTGAATGACTTGATAAGGCTAATTCCAGCCGTGAGACAATTTCTAGTCGGTATACTCATCTGAGTCATTCTCATGATATGTGCTATCACTCTGGCTGAAGAACGATTTTTTATATTTGGTATTATTTTCATCCCTGGCGAGAGGGGCTGGCCTCTTCTTGTCCTCTCCTTCCTTCCGTGCACTCATGGTGTCTTCAGCGTTGATGTGTTTTTGCGCTCTGACCAGCAACTCTATCATACTGGTGGGAGGTTCTTTTGATAAGGAAAACAAGAATCTAGAGGTTTGGAGTCCTCCTATGAAAGCGGTCAAAGCTACCTTGTCGTCCACCTCTTCTACCTACAACATCTCTGCGTTGAATCGGGTGATGTATTCCCGAATCGACTCTTCCTTTTGTTGCTCTACAGTAAACAAGTAGGTAGCCGGCCTCCTATGCCTCTGACCTGCAATGAAATGGCTCACAAACTGCTTACTCAATTCTTCGAAGGTGTTGATGGTTCCTGGCTTCAACTTGTTGAACAAAACTCTCGCTGATCCCTTAAGTGTAATGGAAAAAGCTCGACACATGATTTCATCTGACATAGCGTGTAAATGCATAAGAGCTTGAAAAGTTTCCAGGTGATCGAGGGAATCTTTGGTCCCATCGAAGCTTTCAAACGAGGGCATCCTGAACTTGCTTGGTAGTGGACATTTCATAACGGCGGGGCTGAAAGGCAGGTTGGTCCTTTGTACCCGGTCATCTACGGCGGCAAGACCTTTCTTTTTCATAGCCTGCATTACATCTTCCATTTTCCCCTTGAGATCCTTAATCTGCAAGTCGAGATGGGTAACTTTCTTTGTCTTTTCCTTAAGACAGAAGGCTATGCTTTCAGGAGGTCAGGAACTCCGTGGGAGAGATGGGTGAATCACCTCTCTATGTCGGGTTCCCACCTGGCTTTGTTCCACTTCAGTCTCATTTTGGGGGGGATGATTATCCTTCTCTTCAAGATTCCCATTACCTCCGTTTGGACTTGAGAGATCTTGTCCTGGAAAGTTTTGTTGAACCGGTGGAACAAGGTGTTGCAAGAGCGTTGCATTTTGCTGGATCAACTGGTTTATACCCTGACTCAGAGTTTGAACCTGCAGTTCCAACACTGCAAGCCGTGCCTGGTCATTTGGGACGTCCAGGTTTTCACCCGACTCTACCCTTTGACCAGATCCCTGCGACGGTGTTCCTTCGGTAACCATACCGGACTGCAAACGTATATACCCAACGAGTAATTAATTGATTCAAAGGAATCGTCGATCCCACAAACGGCGTCAACTGTTGAGGCTAAAATTTGCGCAGTCCGATACGATACCGTTTTCCTGCAAGGAAGAGAGGAGAAGATCAATGAACCTTGACGGCACCGGTATGGTGCCTGCAAAGAGCTATCTGACGATCAAATTAGTCACGGAGGTCTAAAAAGAAGACAGGGATTAATAATAGTTTTTACGTCGTCCCTTCTTTAATGGCTTGGTAGCCTATTTATGGCTGTCGATTGGAATCAAAATCGTTCCGCCGATATCGATGGTTTATCTTATCTTCCGCTTGTGCGAAATCATAGGAGATTTGTTGTTAGATTTGTCGAGGATATGATTTAATCCTTTTGACCTCCTCCAGTTATAATAGGATTATTCTTACCTATTGAACCACGTCAGATTTGATTTCATTATCCTTGATAATGAAATCTAATCAATCTTATCAAAGGTAGGGTAGGTTTATATTTTTCCCTCTCAATAATAAAAACCCTAACTGCTTTGACAATAAAATTACAAAAATAGTGATTTTATTATAAAAGATTATATATAAAAATAATTTGGTAGATAGAATCTTAGTTTATGATTTTATTGGTATATTTTGGGACGAAATGCAGAAAACCCAATGTAATATAAGTTATGTGCACAATGCATTCCTCCTTTTTGAAAAGGTATATTTCAATCCATAAAATTCAAAAAAATATACAACTAAGCCTCTCTAACCACTTTGTGGTCAAAAATGACATAAAGTAAATTTAAAAATCCAAATTTGCCCTTTTCTCATATCACCGAGATCAAAGAATATGTTTTTTTTTTTTATTTTTGTCCTTTTTTTTTTAAATTTATTTTTAGTATGAATCATATTAAATGGAAACATTTATTTCTTTAGGTCAAAGATATGAAACATATTAAATGTAAATATTTATTTTTCTAGGTCACATATTATATGAATAATATACAATTTTGCTTTTAGTATGAATCATATTAAATGTAAATATGTATTTCTTTAGATCTGAAATTATATGAATACTATACATATATAATTTCATATTTTATGTAATGCTTTCAAATTATTTGTTTATTCTTCTTAATAAATTTTGGTAAGGAATTTATAATTTTTCAATTATATATACATATAAAATCATTTACTTTTACTTTTTCAAATATGTTCTTCAATTTTTGTTTTTTGGTCTATGATGAAACAAAATTATATATATATAATATAGCTCTGTTTTTTTTCATAAAAAAACTGGTCCCCACTACTGTTTCACACTACTTTGATTAATAGAAAAAAAAAAAAAAAAAAAAAAAAAAAAAAAAAAAAAAAATTATATAAACTTTTTCTAAACATAATTCATAAAAAAACTGATCCCTTCACTTATCAATCTCATCAACAACTCTCACTACTTGGAGTCTGGACGCGATCTGTGCAGCCATGGATTATTGCCACAGAGAGAAGGATATTGCTTACAGTAAAATGATCAATTAGCCCTTAAATTAAAAGACATAGGAGTATTTTTAAGGGTTTATTTGTCACAAAAATGTTAGCTTTGTGGATGAGTTTGAGAATTGTCTAAAATGGTAATTTCACATTGCTTAATTTTTTAAAATATTATTTAATTTTATTGGCAAGAGAATATTATAATCTTTTTATTCGAAAAGAAGGTATTTGCATCAAATTGATAGTATAGGGCGATTTTATACCACACATGGACCTTTTTGTACTATATGGATAGTAAAAAGGGTTTTTTGCACTTAATCTTATATTTTGATATAGAATTGTTGTTATGTTTTTATTGAAATAAATTATATATTTACTTCTCCAATTAGATTTCTATTTATTGAATTCTATTATTTTCTACTACTATATTATTATTAGTGGTATTGCTCCTCTAATTAAATTTTATTTTATTGAATTATATAAATAAAATTTTAATATTATATACTTATTTCTCTAATTAGATTTCTTTTTATCAAATTTCAATAATTCAGTTTTTAAATATTATATATTTTTGTCTCTAATTAAATTTCATTCTAATATATTATTATTAGTATTATTAGTATTCCCCACTATTCTATAGTAACATTAATATATGTGTATATGAAAATTTTACTTTTATTTAAATAAAATAATATAAAATAAACAGATGAATTTGCATGTCCTTCATGATCAAAAGTTGAGTTCCATCAAGATGATACAAATTCAGTGGTGGAAATAAGTGTTCCCAAACCACCACAATGTTATTCTCTAGTTTCCTTGTGTTAAAAGTAAAAGACATTACATAAATTGAGGTCAATTTTAGCCATTGTGTCGTGAGCCCTTGAGGAAAGAAGCAGTCTTGGTGATTTCCCGGAGGGGCTTGTCCGTGAACCTGATGGTATTGTAGACCATGGCACCTGATATGGCTCCTAAAATAGGTGCCACTAGGTATATCCATATGCTCTTGTATTGGTGTGACACAATCGCTGGCCCCAAAGATCGTGCTGGATTCATCGATGCTCCTGAAATTGGTCTGCATTCCCAACAAAGCCACTTAACTTACTACACGGGTCTAAATAGTAGTACATATTAATGAACCAAATTAACCAACAACAAGAAGGTTTATACAAGTACAAATTTGCAAAATATATAATTAGATCGTGTTACTTTGTAGGGTGCTTAATTCTGTTTTTTTGGGCTGTTAAAATGATGGGTATGGTTTGGATTTTGCAACTAATCTCTAAAATTTATGCTCTGCTTGACAGAATGGAAATGAAACAAATAGGGGAAAGAAAGTGAGGGAATGAAGAGAGTGATTCTTTTTTTAAAAAGACTAGGGGAGGGAAAGGAAAATATGAGGGAGACTTCCCTCAATCCACCTATTCCTTCCCGCCCAAACAAGGTGGAAATAAGTGTAAATAGACCGAATCATCGTGTAAATGGTTCAAAACTATCTAATAATTTCGCACGAAAAAAGAAGAGCTTTTCTTTGTTACATGCTTCCCCTTAAACCGTAAATTATCACTCATTCTCTTTCTCTTTCTCTTTCCTTCCTAGTTCTTTCCTTTGCATTCAACCGAATAGAATGAGAGATCACTACTTAAACATACAGAGAAAAAAATTATAATAATAATAATAATCTACTTTCACTAATGAGACTTTTTCTTTTTTCTTTTTTTTCTTTTTTAACTCTTTTTCATCTCTCATACCTACCTAAATTTATTTTTTTCATTTCCTCCAAGGAACTTTTTTTCCACCAAAAACAATGGTTTAAAATATATAGGAAAATTTTATTAGGATAAAGAAAGATTAATGAATACGTACCCTGCAAACAACACATTAAGCAAAACGGTAGATCCAACGGCAAGCCCAGCAAGCTCTCCAATCTGCATCACAAATCATAAAGCAAAAGAAATTATGAAATGGTGATGTGTAAGCATCCGTATCATTTGTCAATACATAGATAAGAAAAGCTTAGAAAAAGTGACCGAGTCTTGCATACTTGTTTAATATGATAACTTGAACATTTGGGTTAATGTATTAGTCGGATAAAATAACATACTGGAATTGCATGTACATGTACTCGTATTTCATGAAATTGAAGCAATGATTAGATGAAGGAGTTGAACTAACAGCTCGGTTATCGGTGGCGACGCCAGAGATGACAAACATGAGGTAGAAGGTGACTATGAACTCTATCACGAAAGATTGCAACTCTGTCCCCGACGGACTTGTTCCTACAAAGTGATCGTGCTTCCCGTTAAATATTAGCCGGAGGGTTCCGCTTGCTAGAGTTGATCCAAGCACTTGAGCTGATATATAGGCTGGTACCTAAGAAGAAGAAGAAGAAGACGAAGAAATAAGTTAATTAGGACAAAAAAATGACTTATATGGCACATCTAGAAACAACCCTGCATCTAAAATCATTTGTCAATTAACTTGGTAGATCAGAGTGATTTAGATTGGACATATTTGTACAACAATGTCTCAATCGTATCTAAAACGCATTAGAACACTTTTTTTTTTTTTTTCAATCATCATACATGCACAATAGAAAGTTATAGAGGGGTACTTCAAAGTTCATGTTAAGAGCAGCACTTTGTATGAAACAAATTAAGGCATTAACCGTTCCATATTGAAACGTGTTTATACAGTTAGGGGACATCTACACATATAAAAGTCCACTTTGCACCCTTTTCGCGCTCACAATTTTCAAAATATTCTTACACGTAAGAGAGATGTGGGAATTCACATATTCACAGTGCCTGTATTTACACACGTCTCCTAAAAGACGGAAAACATGAAATTTGTTTACATTTTGGCATGTTCTTTGTAATAGAATTTGATTGGGATCCGAAAAAAACATGAGATATTGATTTTTATGGAATTAATAATGGTATTAATATAATAAGAAAAGAGTTTGTTTATTAAATTATGGAGCACATTGGAGTTAGCTCAAAAACTGGTGTGAGTTGGTTAGTGTAGTTTACCTGTTTCCATGGAAACCTTTTGCAAGTGGCAAAAGCAATAGTGACTGCAGGGTTGAAATGAGCACCAGAGATGTGGCCAACAGAGTAAACCAAGACCATCACAGCCAGTCCCCAAACAATTGCTATTCCCGGATGTGTCACCACCTTGTCCTTCTCCAAATTCACCACCACCGCGGCACAACCAGCAAATATCAGGAAGTAGGTCCCCAACACCTCCGCGATCAACTGCAATCAACAAACAAATCGCTCACCAAACAACACAGATAATTATCGCCTTTCATATTCTAAAACAATTTGCTAATTTGTAACACCCGAAAGGATTAAATTCTGGGTGATCAAGATGTTTGGCCACCAAGAAAAGGAATGAAAAGAAAATTTGAAACCTGTCATGAGAAATAAAAAGAACTACTCCATATTTAAGGCAGGGCATATATATGCAGGTGAAATTAAGACTTGATTGATATGTATATTTAGCATTTTGCGAATGAAAAAAGTATGTTGTTGAATAAAATGAAGAAAAAAAACTCCATAGAAGTCTAAAGATCACCTTTTGCATGAAAGGTATGGTGACAAAGCAGCTTTCAGAGTCTTCATTTGCTTTGGATGGTGATTGAGGAAGGTTGTGATTCATATCACCATCCTTTATATTCAAAGCCACTCCATTGTTCCCATTAGCTCCTGATTCCTCTGCCATTAGTGCTATCACAAGAGAGACAGATTCCTTGCCTTAGGTTTTTAACTCTTTAACTTTGTAATGAACAAGAATCCAGCAAATCATCTCAATATATATATATATATATAGAGAGAGAGAGAGAGAGAGAGAGAGAGTGTGTGTGTGTGTGTGTTTTGGACTGTTTTACATATATGGATGGATTGACTACAAGCACTATAGTTTCTGTTCATATATTTAATTTTTCATAGTAGATATCGTTGAGAAGTGTGATGTGTTCTTAAATTCCAGTATGTGAACAAAGATGGAATTGAAGGCTAGCTGCTACAACCACCCAACAGAAAAAAAACAAAAAGATATGAATGCATTAATTAAATTCTATATCTTATAAATCTAAAATTATAAACGAAATACATTAATTCACAACTCAGATGGCAACAAGTGAGTTAGCTAGCTAACAAATTTTCTGGTTTAATTAAAAAGAGCTTAAGACAGACTTGAAGCCAAATTGTGGCATAGTTATCATCTTACAAATGCCATATAACTATTTTTTAATTGTCTGCTTTACAATTTTTCTAGTTTCTGATGATTAGAGAACAAAAACATTAACAAATTAGTTTATAAACACCCTTGTAGTAACATCTAATCAATCCTATTCATATATACACGGCACATAAAATGACACATTGTTCAATTTGAATTTAAAATATAAGAGAGAAAATAAATAATTTTTTTTAAAAAAAATTATTTATATAATTTTAATTTAAAATAAATACGCGTGTAATTCTATTATTGAACTATACAACAATTGTGTTCTCCAAAATTGTGTTGCTTTGGATTGTCAGTGAAGTAGACTTGGGTCGGCTTTTCTTAGGTCAGCTAATTGAAGATGTGACAATGACCTGATGTTTCCCTCTCAAGAATGGTCTACCAAGGGAATCAACACACATTGTATATATCCAAATATATACATCAAATAAAGTACAACTATTTGGATTACAAGCTTGACAATGAAAAATAAATGTGTGTGTGTTAATATGCGTTCCTGAACCAAATTGCAACTTTGCCCATTCCAATTTTATAATAATATACCTTACATAATTTACATCTCTTTTGCTAATTGAGGAATCAACTTGTCACTCCTTTCAAAGTTATTCACCACATCAATTAGATTATTATATACCAAGTCAAATTAAAGAATTAAAGAGAATGAACACTGACAAATAGGTGAGGAGTTTAGTAGTATGATATCTAGTTCATAGTGTGCATTTGTGAGCGTGTAAGTATTTATTTAAAAAAATAAAAAAGATAAAAGTATTGTAATTTTAGCTCTTTTCATGGGTTGTGAATACAAAAAATAAATAAATAAATAGAAAGAGATTTTTATTTTTAATTTTTTTTATCTTGACAAGAAATACACCTACATATTTATTGTTCAAAACTTTCTTGTTTAGAAGGCGAGGAAGTAACACTAAATTGCGTAACCTTGATCAAAATATATATATATATATATATATATATATATATTGATATAGCACTTTTCTAATTATCATTAATGTGCTTTACATACATCCTAAATATTTTCTAGCAAATTAACATACAAAAGTACTGTGATAGTTATCAATTCCTTGGAAACTTCAAAACATTGTTCATTTTCTTTCCTAAAATTGGTTACTTGGAATTCTAGTTGTTTAAGTTAATTGATTAACTTGACAATTAAGTGCAAAGTTTATAACTTAAAACAAAGATATATACATACATGGAATTTCTTATGATTTACTAATGGCATTTTAGTACTAACAGAATATATGATACTAGGATATATAAATTTAAACAAAGATACTCTCTGCTTTTTGTTTTTTGTATTTTTTATTTTTACGATTGTTTCCAAGCTAGTTTATTGCTGATTCCTCGAATGTTCATGAGCATTTAAGGCACTTAGGATCTGGATAAGTATATACCTAAGTTATAGAGCTTTCTTGTGGTTTTTATTGTGTTTGATCAGCAACTTGCCAAACAATTTTTACAATACTTGTCTTCGCATTCCCTAAATTCTCAGTTTATCATAGACTGTTTTTATTTTATTTCATGATTTCCATCTAGCCTATGTCATTCAAATCCAATTCATCTTAATAAATGGACAAAAATAATAGCAATAGATTACAGAGCAAGAAAGCTAAGTTAGATATTATATCATAAGGAAATCAAGGGCTGTTGTCATAAAATTAATGATTATTTGACATCACACTTATTAATTCATCATTTTCAAAAAAATTAGCATAATTTTTTTTTTTTTTTTTTTTTTTCGGAGAATCCGAAAAATGGTTTTGCAATACGGTAAAGGTGTCACAAGTTCAAGGAGCAAAATAAAATAAAATGGACCGATGAAGTATGAAAAATATATAATGCTAACCTTTAAATTTTCATAGATTTAGGATTCAGGAAGATTTTCTTAGATTTTTGGCAAAATGGATTGTTGTTCTTGTTCACTTCCACCTTCATTTTTTAAATTCAATGTCCATGATTATATATATATTTGATTATTCACAATTGGTTTTGTTGATTTTTTTGTTGGTAGGTGATCAACTGTCATTGCTTCAAAATTAAGATAACAAGGGAACTTGCTTCATTACCTCATTTAATTTTCCATATTGCTTCCATTGTTTACAATATACAAATAGTTAATAAGAAAATATTTACATTTCTTATCAATATGTAACTAAGGAGTTGACCAAATGCATTATTTGATTATTCTTAATAACATTTTATGTATTTATACCAAATCAAATACATTCTTTTTTTTTTCTTTTTTTTTGGTAGGTGATCAACAATTTCATAGTCAAAATGTCATCTTCAATCAACATTAGACACTAAGTATACTTTAGATGCTAGCTGTTGACAAGTGGCTCTTTCCAAAGCCTGACAAATGTCATCATCGCAGTCACTGGAGTCAGTATATCGTAGCCATGATCCGGAGGAAGTGTTCTTTGATTTGAGTTTTGTTATGATTAGGATTGCTCTAAGACCTGCGTAGAATTAGAATTTTGAAATTAAAATTAAAAAAAAATTAATTTAATTTTACACGGATTCTAATTTTGTGCAAGCGAAAACAGAGTAAAAAAATTCAAAATGACTGAGTGAGATATTTGAATTATCAAGGTTTTTGTGACCCAGTGGTATCTCCCCTACCTTTTAAAGTGGATAGTGAAGATTCGAGTATTTAAAAGAGCAAAGTAAGTATGTAAGTGTGGTGTGTATAAATTTATTGCAAATGAAAAATAATAATAAAAACTAAAACAAGAAATAACAAATAAAAAACAAAACAATACTTTATCTTTGAATTATCTCCTGAGAATTAATACGTCTTTGAATTATCTCATGAGAATTAATACGTGTAACATAAGATAGTGGTCAGATATTAGATAATATAGTGGCTGCTTTATGTTTTCCATAATATAGTGGCTGCTTTATCCCCACTCGAGAAATTGACTCGTTTGCATAATGAGTCTCCACAGCCACCTATGTACTATGACCGTAAATGTTCCATTAATGAACCCTATTTTTTTAAAAAAATAAAAATAAAAATAAAAAAGGAATTTTTTGGCACAAACTAAAATACAGACACATGTTACATGTAATTTTTTAAATTTATAACGACTCAAAAGCAGAAAACTTATAATAATTTTACTGGAATAGAGCCGGGCAACTCTTTTGATGCCATTTTTATTTATTTAACATAAAAAAATAAAAATAAAAAAATAGAAGAAAGTTTTGTGATTCTTAATCATATATAATGATACGAAATCAAATGTTACATTTAGGAGTAGACTAAAAGCTTATGGTCTTGAATTAATGGTGACGTGATCCTTAATTATTACATTGTGCAACATATAGCAGTGCGGCAAGTGCCTCCAAAACAGAAAAATTTTCAGAGGCAACCATGAAATTGAAACTGAAAATTTTCTAGTGCAAGCTAACATCAACACACGTTACAGTTTTCAACACCCTCCACGTAAGGAAATTAATATTGAAGCACTTATTAAAGATCAAACCAATTAATGATTTAATGCGCATAAAGGATATGTATGTATTGACTAATGTGGTTACAGAAGACTTTATTTCATCAATGTCTCCCGTGATTCATAAAGCTTTAATATGTAGTTGCTTGAATTATCTCCCGTTTCAACCAAAATTAGAGGCTTCTGAATTGAGAATTGTTGAAAAGGGTGTAGTTCCATTGATGAATTTGACTAATGAGGACAAATTCATTGGTGATTATAAGCAAAGTTTTCCAAATTATCTGGATTTGAGGTTGGCATTTATATGCGTGATTAGAAAATTATAAACACAAAGGGCTCATTTGGTATAACTTTTGTTTTTGCTTTTACACAACCAAAAAAAAAAAAGAAAAAAAGAAAAAAAGAAAAAAAAGAAGCAGAAGATATCACTTCGATTTAGCTTTTATATTAGTGTTTGGGTATTATATTTTAAAAGAGTTTTTAGAACCGGAAGAATTTTTATATCTGTTTGACAAAACATATGTTGAAACTCTTCTATTATTAAAATAACTATTTTACCCTTGATAGAGTGTGTCTTCCCATTTTCGTTTTTACTTTTTTTTTGTTCTAGCAGTCCCCATCTAATTTACAATAAAAATGAATAACTATTGAGTGATAAAAAATTAAAAATACCTATATATGTAATAAATCACAAATATAAATATAATGTTTACACGTAAAATAAACTTATTAAGTAAAGGGAAATTATTTATCCGTTAGTGGGGGTACCTAAACTATTGTAGCTAAGACATTTATCATTTTTTACAATTACACAATCAACCAACTCCAATAGATTACATTAATTAATTAAAAAAATTATTTATTTATTTGTGTCAAATACTTCAACAATAGGCTGCAACTATAGTATAACCAGAGAGGTTTACAACTACAACTTATTGTGATGGACAACGCAAATAAAAAAATGGGTTACAGTAAAAATTAAATCGTTCAAATATTTGGGCTCTTCAAAATTTTGCACAAATAGATTCAATCAAATTAGAACCCAGATCAAAATATTTCAATTTTTTGTTGTAAGAAAAAAAGCCAAAAAAATAATAATAATAAAATAAAAAAAAAAATATGCGTAGTAGACCTTGCCATCGATCTATCAATCAAAGTATCCATCGATACCTATTGTTCTATCCACGTGTCTGAATCGATCTATCAATAAATTTACAGATCTATCAATATTGTTCTATCCATGACTCCACGCATAAGGATCGATCTATTATCGATAAGCTCATATGTAATCGTTATCTTGTTTGCATAGGACTTCTCTTGGGCTGTTTGGTACTTCCATTGCATCATCGGATACATTATTTAACGAAAAACGAATATGTTGCTAAACGAAAGACACCATCGTTGTCTGAAACAAAAGAGATAATTGTTGGCTGACTTGTTGAACATGCCATTTGAGTTGTGCCGGTTAACATTAGGGTTTAGGAAGCCTATGTCTTTTACAGTGGTATATGTTGTAATTTTATTTTTTTCACTTCCTAAACAAAAGGGTATGATTGGTATATTAAAATTTTCACTAAATCCTAAACGGCTTCCGTGTATTTTTAAGAAGAGCGTTTTGAAGAAGTTGGGTCATAACTTCTCGAATTACTCAAAGCTTTTCTAAAAAATTTGCTAAACACTGCTCAAAATGATTTTTTAATTCAAAAAGTTAAAAACAGCATTTGAAAAGCCAATCCAAACAGGCTCAAAGAGAATGTAAAGTGAATAATATCTGCACAACAATGGTCATGATAGATGGTATCGGAGTCAATACTTAGCTGAAAATGCCCCCACGTTGCCTCAAAGAGTTAGCACATATATACGCGAACATCTCTTGGTAGATATGTTTTGAAAATCCCGAATACAAGAAGTGTGTAAAGCAAATAATATCTATATATTATGGGGTTGTGATCGGTGCAACACAATCACTCTCTAGTTAAAAATGAGAGGAGCATGTACACTCCATGAGAGTTGGGCCAACTTAGATGTAAGATCTTAAGAAGAGTGAATGTGACATCCCACATTATTCGAGAGTGAGGTTATCATTTATACATATGAACATCCCTTAATATACGTGGTTTTAAAAAGTAACAATATCTACGTAGCTGAACTAAATTGTAGTAATTGGTATTTTGGTAGTTTCCATAAAGTTATTTGGATTATTTCCTTCTATACATTTAAATACATCGAGTCGAGTGATATGAGGTACTGATCAATGGTAGGTGAGAGTGGATGTATGTCCTCACTAACCAAAATTTAAAAAATAAATTAATAAAAAGTAAAAGCAACAACAAGAAGGTAAAGCAGCATAAAAGTGCAATATGGTCATATTAGATTTGTTTATTGTCTGTCTAAAAAGGGAAAAAAAAATTAGTGCATAATATTTTTGCTACTGTAAGACTTATCTCCTCGTATATACGTAAAGAGAGATGATTTCTTTATTTAGAACCATGATCTGACCTGATTATAATAGAATAATTTTACGGTTACTCTAAGGTTCACTGATAAATTTATTTAAACTTTGCAAATTTTCTAATTTGTATAATTGTATAGTGTGTTTGATATGATGGGAAAATAGAAATGGGATGGGGAGAAAAAGGTAAAAGGTGGAGAGTGGGAACATTGTTTTGTGTTGTAAAAGTAACACGCTAAGAGCCCAAAATCTTCTGCAAGTATGCCATAGGTCTCGGGTTGCAGCTTGGGTATATGTGTGAGTTTGATCATATACCGAGCCCAACCCAAAATGTTGGTTAGATCTATTGTTTGGGCTGGGTTAGGTCTATTGTCTGAGACCAAAAGTAGCAGCATATAACAAACTGGCCTGGGTCAATTTGGGCTCAGTTTGAGAGGTACAAAATGAGCCCAAGCCTATGTTTGGAGACCAAAGTAAAATCATATTTCGAAATACTTTCAATTTTGACCACATTAATTTTGTTAATATGACAATTAAAGCCACAATAAGTTAGTTCCATTAACTAAATAATGCTAAATTCCATTTAATCAGACAAACGATTTAACGTGATGTAAATATTCTTAGTTTATCCATAATGCTAAATTCCATTTAATCAGACAAATGTTTTAATGTGATGTAAATATTCTTAGTTTATCCATAATGAAGTGAATTTTTAGCCCAACTAAATTTAACCAACCCGCCAAATCGTTTTGAATTAGTAAAATCAGACCTTCCCTCCAAACTCACCTAATCTTTCCCCAACGGTCACTAACAAAACAATACAGCAACGACACACTCAACAGGCTCGGCTCCGAACCAGATCTCTCGAACGTTACACCGAACCAAATTTCGAAACTTCAAACTAGAACATCTCCCTCATATCCACATACACCCACACAGAACTAAAACCGCTTTAACCATCTCTCTCTCTCTCTCTCTCTAAGAAACCATTCTCTCTCTTTCTCTCTAAGAAACCATGGTGTCCAAGATCAGCAAGAAAACCTCAACAAAAACCATCAAAGACCGTCGAAGTCGCCGGAAAAAGAAGTCTCCGATCAAGAACGTCGTCGCCGCCTCTTCCATCGTGGTCGCAACGATAAACAAATCAATTTACACCTGCCACCGTCGCCTCATCAAGATCTTCACCAAACTCGCCCGAATCGGAACTCCGAAGAACCCCAAAAAACAGGGGTACCAATTCCTCAAGAGAGTTCATGAAGAAGATCGAACCTGTCGGTCACTTTTCTTTGAAAATCGGCTCCCACCGTTGATGTGCCCAGAGAAAAAGACGATCTTCCTCGACCTGGACGAGACTCTGGTTCACTCCACGCCGGATCCGCCGCCAGAAAAGTACGATTTCATAGTCCGGCCGATGATCGACGGCGAAAGAGTCAACTTCTACGTGTTGAAGCGTCCCTTTGTCCACGAATTACTGGAAAAGCTGAGTGAAAAGTTCGAACTCGTTGTGTTCACCGCCGGAATTGAGAGCTACGCTTCTCAGGTGATCGATCGGATCGATCGGAAGGCGGTGATTTCGCACCGGCTTTATAGGGATTCGTGCAGAGAAGTTGATGGGAAGTTTGTGAAGGACTTGTCTGAGTTGGGGAGGGACTTGAAGAGGGTGGTGATCGTCGACGACAACCCAAATTCGTACTCATTGCAGCCGGAAAATGCAATTCCGATACGGCCGTTTACGGAGGATCTCGGTGATGGGGAGCTTCAGAAGTTGATTGAATTTTTCGAGGGTTGTGGTTGCTTTGAAGATTTGAGGGATGCTGTTAAGCATTACATTGCTGAGGCAAACAAGTAGTAGTTGGAAATGTAGCTTTTTTCATCTGTGTTGAACATACTGTGTTCAATTTCAATTCAGAAAAGAAATTTAAGGAATTAATATAGTATAATTTATTACTTTCACTTTTGCTGTGTGCTGTGTGTGTGTAGATTGTTTTTGGTACAAGTGAATGGGTCATCTAGGAACCTAAAGAAAAAGCACATTAACAAATTTTTGAACGTTATGTTGTGAATTGATCTAAACGCACACCAACATTTTTATGAGTCTTAGATTCATTAGTTGTATTTTCAACTCTACAGCTCAATTTGGTAGAAAATGGGAGGAAAGGGAAGGGAAGGTGATGGAGGGTAATTAAAAAATTGTGTTTGTGTAAAATTGATGGAAGGAAAGGAAAGGAGAAGGAAGAGTTTGGAGGGTTAACACAAGGTTTTTACAGTAGATTTCTTAACTTCCCAAAAATGGACGGAAATGGAAGGAAAGGGAAGGAGAGGTTTGGTGAGTGATTTCTTATGCTAAATTTGCCCTTGATTACACACAAAACCCATACGTACAAGTTAGCAGTTGCAGAGAGACAGAGAGAGAGGGGGACAAGCTTGAGAGTTGAGAGAAAGAGGGCCGGTTAAAGCTTGCGAACGGCGAACCCGAATTGGAAGGGCGATGGAAACTGAAAGATCGATATGGCTGAAATGGGGTTTTGATTTTTTGAACAATCTGAAATGATGCCGATATGGGTTTTGTAGTTTTGATTCTTGCAGACAAATATATAAATTAAAAGAAATTTTGAACTTCTGATTCTTGTATTTGCAGTGGCGTAGAGAGAGAGAGAGACGACAAGTTCAGATTTAGGACGAGAATAGAGATGAGACTAAAATGACTTGCCCTAAAAATATTATATATATATTACATACGTTTTTTTTTTTTTTTTTTTTTTTTTTTTTTGCTGCAAATATTACATACTTAAATTTATAAATTTTTCTTTTAAAAATTAAAAGGGTATAATAATAAATTTACTAAAATACTTTCCTTCCTTTTCTTTTGTCAAACATGATCATTATCATTTCTTTTTTTTTCCTTCATTAACTAACCAAACACGACAAGGGGTTAAAATTAACCTTCCCTTCCCTTCCATTTCCTTTTCCTCGTAACTAATGTTATCCTCCCCCTTCAAACCCACCGTACCAAACATAGCCTACAAGAAATGTACATTTGGATGAAAGTCAAAAAAAAATGGACATGAAATTGGAAATTGGAAATTTGAAGGCATGGGCAGGAATTTTCTTATAGAAGTGATGTTGCTAGAGCTGGATGTCATGGGGTCTCTATGTTTAGAATAATGTTGAACATTTTACATGTGATTTGGCAGTCGATCAATAAAGCTTTTCCCATGCTGTGACAAATGGGAGAAAAAAGCAATTCTAAGGGGAACTTCGCCTAAAGAAGTACGTTTTCAACTCTTGGATTGAGACGGATAAGCTGTCTTTAAGAACCAATTAAGCATCAATCAACCTCTCATTACATATAGAGTGCAATGTGCATGCATATATATTGTGCTGTCATAACATTGCATCGACAACCTGTCATGACATAGCCTTTGCCATCCTTTGTGATTCTTCATTTACCAATCTCCATTGAACTTGAAACACAACTATAAAGTAGCTCCATTGAACCTGAGTATCGTCAATGCTTTCAACCCAAATCTGTAAACCAACCTTGAAATGTTGCCAACTTTGCCATCACTCCAATACAGAATAGAAGTTTTGGAGAAATCGAACCACTGTTTCGTAGAGCTTATGGCACACACATGCACTGTTTCTTCATTTAGTTTCATATGATAGAGAGAGTCAACAAGAGGTTGCTACAATTTCCCACCTGCCACCCCATGTGGGGAGAGGCTGATCACTACCAAATACTATACTATATACCGACATTATATAGCCGCTGATGGCATTTATATGTGTAGGTGTGCAAATTAAGCGAAAAATATCTCCACATTCTACCAGGGTGGAGTCCGTGTATGCCCAAGTGACACGTGCTCTTAGCCTGGTTCGCTTACTATAATATATATATATATATATATATATATATATATACTAAATTAAATATTTTTATATGTATATATGAAAAAATTCATATAATGCCCCCATTAAAATTTTTATTTTCTAAAATTATCTATTAAATTTTGTATTTCTTCTATTTTTTACTATTTAAATTCGTTTAATTTCCTTTAAAAAAAGTCAAATTTTACTTTTTGAATCAAATTCCAATTTTTTTCCCTTTCAAAATTCTTTCATTTTTCTTTCCTTCATAAATTTTTTGTTAACTATTTATCTTTCTTAAATTACTCATTGACATATTATTTTGAGAAATTTTTTTCTTTATCTCTTGATTTATAGAATCTATATTTTTTGTCGTAATTATTGAATTTTTTTTTTTTTTTTTTTTTTACACTACCCCTCCCCCCTGAATTTAATTTTTGGCTCCACCCCTGCTGTTATTAGTATACTCATCTAATGAAATATAATGTGCCGCGCCTAGCATACTCATCCAATGAAATATAACATATTATTTCGTTATCAATAATTTTATAAGTGGACTAACTTTTTTTGAAATAAAACATTGTCATTGGATGTGTATATTAATGACATGACATACATGACTATATCTACCAACAGGTAGTGTCCATAAGCCCATCTGAGGACGTCTTGACACAACTACCATAACCATCTAAAAAAAATTAAAAAAAAAAAAAAAAAAAAATTTAGGCCAAAGAAAACATGATATATATAAGTGTGTGTGTGTGTGCGTGTGTTGGTGAACAAATTAGGTGAATAGTATCCACAAAGAATAGAGCAGAGTTTTAATAAATGGTATCAAAGACAATTCTTCATAAATGCAGAGAGTGTGCATAAACCCATACGAGAACGTTTGATTCAAAAAAGGGGTATATAATCTGAAATTTTGTTTAACTTCCGCATGGAACTTTCAACTTAAGAATGCGAGAAAAAGGTTTGCTACAATATAATTAATTAAAGCTTTTGGACCCATCAAGGCCAAAAAAAAAAAGAAACTTTCCACTTACCGATACTACGTAATTGTAAACTAGGTCAGTCCTATACAAATTAGCACTCAAACCGAAATAATTATGCCCATCCATTGGCTTTTTTTTATCATTACTCATTGAAAAATGATCCAAATTGTTGATTATCGGAAAAGTCAATGACTCCAATAATTTATGAAATAAAGCTATTTATACATAAATAAGTTAAATAACTCACACAAAAATAATAATAACCCAAACTAATGGGTTAAACAACATTACAGTCACTCAATTTACTCTGTCAAAGGGGCATAAGACCGGAGAGATTATCCGATAATTGTCAAGTGAATCTGGGAAATAAATAATAATAAATAAATAAATAATTAGAGATAAAAAATGGCCGAATGGTGCATAAACACAACGAATTAGATGAAACGAGAGACATAACATGATTTTTTTTCTGCTCATGCACCCAATTTTTCTCTATATATATTGAAATGGTCGCTACGATTTTTTAAACATTACTTAAAAAAAAAAAAAAAAAAAAAAAAAAAAAGACTAATCGCAAGTGAAGATCTGAGTGGGTAAACGGGAGGCCTCATTCTTGTAGAAGCACATATGATCGAGGACGTGGCTGCGACACCACCGGCAATCGGAAATTTGTAAGCACTGAGACTCCGTCACCATTTCGCCGCAGGCTGGGCTCTTGTTCTCAATAATCTGAATATTGCTCTTCCTCTGAGTAGTGCTTAACCACCACCATTCATTGATATTGTCAGACCAAGTCAGATTCATTGCTATGGTTCTATTACTGTAGCAGAAGGCCCCGTCTGATGGTTCGGAAAAATTTGCCAGTAGGATCACAAAAACAGGACCCAAAACCCAACCTTTGAACACAGAACCAGCCATCTTATTATATATGTTCATATACAATATATGTATTATATATGAAGAGAGAGAGAGAGAGATTACACCGTTGGAGCGAGTTTAATGGTGACAGAGAGTCCGAGCCAATTTGGGAGAGATAAACGGCGAGTCTTGCTAATGTATTGAATTTGTATTAGGACTCTTCAATTTGTTTCTAAATTTAATTACCATTTAAAATATATATTAGTAGATACTATTATTATTTCTTATCCATCTTGTTATGTTTTTCTCAATATTTCTATGAAATGATTTTTTAGAAAATATTTATCTACCAAATAGAGTAACATTGATTGTTTATAAAATAATGTACTAATATAAAATAGGAAATTAAAAAAAGGACATATTCAAATGTGGCAATATGAAGGAGAGAAAAAGTTAGAGTTGATATGGACAAAAAAACGTGTGAGTGAATTATACACCATCTCTAACCGTATATATTTTTATATAAATCAAAAAATTAGAATTATTTATTTATGTTTTATACTTTTTGTGTAAAAATATATCCTCTAATAATAACCAACCAATGGAATGAGAAAGATAAAGGAGAAATGAAATATATTGATATGGTTGTGTAAAAAAGTTATGTAAAATACATAATAACTTTACACATTGGTGATATAACAGTGTATTTTAACCGACGTGATATGGCATTATATCTTAATAGACGTAATAGAGTATATTTTACATAAAAAAAAATTTTAACAGACCGATAGAGATGCTCTAAGTGTCTGTTTGCTAAGGCAAAATATATATACATTTGAGACGTATTGCATTGGTATACATAGCACATAGGTATACTTTACCTATTTGATTTAATTTTTTTAAATCAATTCTCTGAAAATAAATATTTCTTTAACTAAATTTTTCCAAAACAGTTTCGCACATGGCCCACCAAACAATATTTTGACAATCTTTTTGATTTTCAATTTTTAGAAAGCTATTCTCAAATTGTTGAATAAAACAGAAGTTTCTTTAGAATATTATTACCTCCGTCTTATATTAGTTGTTCACTTCAAAAATTTTGATTCACAATTTTTTTTAGTTAAAGTTACCTAAATAAACATCTAATATGAGATATAAATAGTATATAAGTTTATAAAAGGAATATGACTAAAAATGACTTCAAATGACTCAAAAATAAACGATGATGGTGAGTCAAAGTTTTTGAAATTTATATAGCCGGAAGTACTATAAAATAAAAGTAACCAACGTGTGACTAGTCAATATAGGAAAGAGGAGGCATTGTCCCGTACTTGTTCACTTTAGCATATTATTTCTTTTGAATTTACACGACATTTGATTTTAGGGAAAACTAAATTTTGTTTGAATTTATAAATAACTTTCTTGAAATATATTTAGTGCATAATACCCTCTGAACTCTTGCATTTTGTTGTAAAATGCCTCAATGCCTAAACTATATATTAACCGACCATAATGTTCTTTTTTATTGAATTACAGTAAACTTATTTTCTTATGAAAATAAATTATGAAAAAAAAATTCATATTGATTGGCAGGGGCGGAGGGACCATGTGCCCTCTTGAAAAAACAGAAATTAGTACTATTATGTGTATTTTTTTTTTTTAAAGTTCAAATATGACTCCTCAAAAAAATATTTAATGATACATTGAGGGTGATTCAATCATTTTAACTATCAAAATATTCAGCCATTTGATCCGCAGGGTTGTACTAATTTTTTTTTTCTATCTATAATTGGTATTTATACTATAATTTGTAAACGGTTATTTCGGTATTCAATGAAAATATTATCAAAATCTATATTTGGTTATTATTTTTGTCAAGTATTTTAACTATTTTTTTCAGTTCAACAAATCAATATTGACATTGAATGATTCTTTTGTTTGCCTTTTGATTTGAAAATAAAATAAAATTACAATGTTAGTTGGATTTTTTTATGTGAAAAAAATAAATAAATTATGATGTTAGTTAGATATTTTATTTTTCGTCAAATACACTACACCCCCTTCTGCTGGTTTGCTGACATATTTTGCGTTAAATTTACATAAATTTATGTTTAATTTTTTAAATTAATTGTTTAAACAAAAATCTTAAATAAAAAATCATAAAACAATTTTATTAATTTTTCATGAATATATTAGTTGAAAAAGAATGTATTTTTTATTTAAGTAATTTATTAATTTTTCATCAATATATTGTATGGAAAAAAAAATGTATTTTTCTACAATAAAATAGGTTTAACATGAGTATAATAAGTTTTAGGGAGCTGTTATTGGCGCTCCAAATTTCTCCACAAGTGTTCCACCTTTTTCCGTTATTAATTAAATTGGCAATTTAACCCTCTCGCATTTCTTCCATTTTTCAAGCCAAAAATTAAACTGTAAATAATATATTCGTCGGAGATTTTATTTGTAGTAGTCATGAACGAATAGAAAGAAATCCAACAAGTTAAAAAATACGAAATAAAAAGAAAGGTTGGCGATGTTGCAATTTCGGAATATTTTCCTTGGATGATGGTGTGGGTTAGAATAATTCTTTTACTTTCTAATTATGCAAAATTGAATGTTTTCCATAGATTTCCAATAAGAACTCATTTTTTTCTAAAGTTTATCGTGTTAGACCTTGAAAACACAATTTTTCCCTCACCATCCAACAATTACAAAAATTATGGTATACAAATAGTAGAAACTTCCATCTTTATAAACCCAAACTCATTGTTCACTAATTGATAAAGGTCAAAAATTAATCACCGGCAAATCGCTATAATTTGTTAAAGGCCATCGTTTTTGGGCTAATAGAACTTTCTTTGTTTTAGCCCATGTGTAAACTTTCTATGATCGTTTTTTAGTTATGTGGTCAGATTCCGACACCTAAGTTTTCGAATTCATCATTAGAAGTAATCTTGTACCATTTTTTTTTTTTTTTTTATCTAAATTTTTCTCAAATTAAAACCTAAGATTTCTCTCTCCCGCAACATCTTACATCTCTTTCTCGACGGATTCCAACATGGCAAGTAAAATTAACACTAATATAAACAAGGGATGTTTGTCTAGGTTGAAGAAAGTGCGATCTTTAGGAAGAGATAAATTAAGACAGGAATGGTGGACGTGTTTGATTGGGTTAATTTTGTCATTACGTAATGCGTGCCAATATCACTATACTAAATTTTATTATAAATAATAAAATTTTAATAATAAGTTAATCATAAAAAAAAAATTGTATTTACAAATTTATTTATTTTTTATTTAATGATAAAATTGATAATAATATTAAAATTAAACTAAATAGTATAATTAATATTATTATACAAATAATTTAATAAGAAAATATAAAATAGTATTATGAAGAGGGTAAGAGCAACTCTTAGTTGTCTATATATATATATATTTTTTGGTAAATATAATGTGTCATAATAATGTGAGATAAAAAAATTTACACTGTATATATTTTATAAAAAATATATTTTTTAACACACTGTTGAAAATGTTGTAATACTGACACTTAATTATCCTCCCCAAATGAATAATTTGAAAAAAAAAAAAAAACTATGATTTTTTTATTCAATTTCTATTTTAGAAAATGCATGTGAGAACCTAAATAAATTATTTTTTTACTCATAAAATAAGACAAGTATTTTCTTTTTTCCTTCATTATCAAATACTTTATTTAATTTTTTCCTGAATAATCATACAATTTACTTTCTTCTGCTTTAACAATGTCGCATACTTTATTTAATTTTTTCCTGAATTGTGATATTATCTTAATGAATACTCTTTTAGTTTTATTTCCTCTTGCGTCTCTGAACAATTCGCTGTTAAGCTTCAAGCAAAGAAAATTCTCTATCTCTATATATACGTTGTAGCGCTTAAAATCTTTCTTCATTCAGCAGTTGCCCATTACAATTCGCGAAAAAGACTTCGTTTTTGTTCGCTTTTACATCGATTGATTGCTATAATTCTACGATTCTTCAAATTTAACCCATGAATGAAGGGCGACAATTTCCTCTCCAAATCTCAAGCTGAAGGAGATTTTCAGCCGTTTGAGTCTAGGGTTTCTACTCTCTCGATCACCAGAGAGACCATCAACCGAAGTTCCAACTCTCAGACGGTAATTGCCGTTGATTTTCTGAATTATTTTATCTGGTTTGGTGTCGTTTGATTGACGATTCAATAGAATTTCAATTCTGTTCGATTGAATTATGAAAAAGAAAAATTGGGATAGGTACGAATCTGTAAATTTATCTGCTACAGCTGATGTTATGATATTGATTCGTCTTGGTTGAAGGGAAAGGTAGGAAATTGTTTTTTGATTTATCTGGCGTTAACAGAAATCAGCCTGAGTTTTTGCTTTGAAGCAAAATCATTTGAATTCAAACAAAATTTCCTTTTATTATGGAAGCAAGAGGGTAAAATCTAAAATAAAAGTCTGTTTTCATTCTTTTTTTAATTATAAACCTCTGAATCATTTTTCGAACCACTGCTAGTCACTGATTTGCTGGAAATTACGAACTCCAAGTAACAAGAATAAACCCTAAAACTCTAGCAAGTGCAACTAATGATTCTAAGTGCATTCGTAGGATTAAAGAAAACACAACCGTAGATATAGAACAATTATTTACTTGGTCCGGAACTAAGGGGTACATCTGCAGGCCATTCAGTAATAAGTAGTTTCCACACCGGAAGAAGTGATAGTGATGAGCAACCCTTTGTAGATCTACACCCACACTTGCTGCAGTGAAACACTACTCTTGCCTTGAAAAACACTTCTCTTTCTTTAACTAGTCGAGATAAACCGACTGATGAAAATAAACATTAAGTCAAAATACATAAATGCTCCTTCATTAAGAAGAAAGGCCCAACTTAAGATTAAAAATCACAATTCCATGAATCTCCTCCATGGCTGAAAATTATTACTTGTTATTGCCAAAATCCCCAACTCACCTTGGTATGATTTAAAAAGGATAACCTTACAAAACAGGCATGTGAAGCTGATACTCTGTTGGATCTCTCTCTCTCTCTCTCTCCATTTGGTCTTTAACATTGTGTTCCATTTGAGTCTGGTTTTCATTTACTTTTTCCTGGAATTATGCTATATAGTTTTGGAATGATAAACTGGTTGGCACTTGGGGATAGTTGAACAGTTTCATAACCAAATGTAACATTGTTGATTAATTACCTAATTCTCCTGCCATGTCTACTTTGATGATAATGACAGGATTGTTGGGTAGATGGAAAAACCGGCAGGCATAGTGGTTCAGAAGCCACGTTAGACTTCATGAGCCAGCAAATGGCTGCATATGAAGAATGTGATGCCGAAAAACCTCAATGCTCAAAGAAGATGGATGAGGAAGGAGGTTTTATTAATCAACAAATGGCTAGTACTCAAGAATGCGATATTGAATTACCTCAATGCAAGAAGGATGAGAACGATGAGAATGGAGGTTTTGTGGGCCAACAAATGGATAAACCTGAAGAAATTAATACTAAATTAGCTCAACACACAAGGGAGGAGTATAAAGAGAAGAGTGGTTTCATTGGCCAACAGATGGCTAAATCTGAAGAATGTGATACTGAATTACATCACCCTACAGGGGAGGTCAATGATGATAAGAAAGAAATGAATGCAAGCCATCAAAAACTAGGAAAATACTTCTATTATGACTTGCCACACCCTGAGGAAACTGGAGCTTGGATACCTGTTTCTGTTCCAGCTATGTCAGAAAGCGAGCATGAAGAGTGGATCAGAGGTTTCTCCTCAAATGGGGGTTATTTTCCTGATGGAGAAATCGGGTGGAGTCAGTATGTTGGGGAAGATAAAGAGTTGACTATGTGGGATGTGGTAGTTGAAATGTTACTTGTGGCACGAGGAAAAGTGAGATCTTTTGCTCATAGCGATATTCATAAAATTTCATGGACATCAAGCCACCTGGTTGAGCAAGCTTGGAAAGAGATGGCTCAAACCCTCACAGAGGCCAATTTTGGTGACGCAATGGAAATTCTTGAAGCAGAGCCTCCAAAATGGTTGCCTGATAGTGCAGCTGCTGCTTGTATGCTGTGTAGTGTGCGGTTTCACCCTATTATGTGCACCAGGCATCACTGCCGGTTTTGCGGAGGAATATTTTGCAGCGATTGTTCTAGAGGAAGGAGCTTGTTGCCAGCAAGGTTCCGTGTTGGGGATCCACAACGAGTATGTGATGTATGTTGTGTGCGTCTTGAGTCTTTCCAGCCATACTTAATGGATCAAGTTAGTCATGCTGCTCAATTGGCAACCCATGACCTGACAGATCTCAGCACTTTAAGATCTTGGGTAAATTTTCCTTGGGGACAGTCTATGGAATATGAGATATACAAAGCCACAAACACTGTCCGGGGTTACAATACGGTATGACTTTAGCTCTGAGCTATTGTAATTTCTATTAGAAGTCTTCTGAATTTAAGCGAAGCAATCAGAGTACCTTGAAAAAAAACCATTCTTACAGTAGAGTTTCATCTAGAAGGTCTGCTATTATAGCAACTGTGCTAGTCACATTTGAATTATTCTCTCTGCCCTTAAAAGAAAATTTGCATCAAACTTATGTCCTGAAGAGAGGGAATCTTTTGAACAATTGATAAACAATTATTTTTTTTTGCCTTGGATTCTTTTGTTCATGAAAGTAAAATAAGCATGTTATGATGCCAGATGCAATCTATTTAGTTAAATAATTACGCTGAGATTCTTGATTTCTCAACAATATATAACTTTATGATATATAATTGCTCAGGTTGGTTCTCTGAGACCTGAGAAGTTAATTCCAGATGCTATACTCCGACAAGCAAAAGGCCTTGCAATTCTTACTGTCGTGAAAGTTGGCATGATGGTCAGCTACAATATTGGAACAGGACTCGTGGTTGCTCGTAGGGAGGATGGCTCATGGTCTCCACCCTCTGCTATATCTTCTCTTGGTGTGAGCTGGGGAGCTCAGGTGAAGTAACTCATTTTTGGAAAAGTGCCCTTTATACATGTAAATTGACTAAATTCCTTTTCAAAGTTCGTGTCTACAATTAAATTTGAAGAGAATAAGAAATTACGACGGCATTCCTAACACAACTGATTGTCTCTTACTTACCAAAAAGATTAGAGAAGAAACTGATTGTAGCTCTGTATTCTGATTCTATTTGCAAATTGTCTGCTTTCCGCATTTCTCCGCTCTTTAGAGGTACTCTATTTGCAAGTCTGTTGGTCATGCTTGGCTTGGGGTTAGGATTCACGTCACTGGTCATTTGAGATATAATTGTAGCAATTAAAGGCTTAAGGTGCCTAGCTCTCCTAGAGTCTTAAATTCAAGGTAAAATAAGATGTGAGGTTGAGTGAATTAAGGCACCATGTGATATAAATACATATTAAATATAGTTACGAAATTTAGTTACCTATACATACATATATATATAGAGAGAGAGAGTAATGATCTCTTGCACACCGGTGAGCAAGAAACTCATCAACACCAAGCAGAGTGATCGTTGGATGTGATTGATATATTTTTTGGTAATTATCTTTTTTACACTTTGATCACATCCAATGGTCAATGTGCTTGGTGTGGAGAAAGTTTCTTTCTCACCGTTGTGCAAGAGATCATTTTTGTATACTATATTTTTTTTGGGCATTACTAACTTTGTTTCGAGGATTCTTTCATCTCGTGTCCATTTTTCTTGTGCTGAAGTATCTAATTGTAATCATGATTTAAGAATGTTTTTTTCCTGGTTTTTTCTTTCTTATTAATGGTTCATCTGTTTGCAGGCTGGAGGAGAATTGACAGACTTCATAGTTGTGTTGAGAACAGATGATGCTGTCAGGACATTTAGTGGCGATGTGCATCTTTCAATAGGAGCTGGTCTGAGTGCAGCTGTGGGAATTGTTGGGCGGACATTTGAAGCTGATGTAAGAGCTGGTGATGGTGGCTATGCTGCTTGTTATACATATAGCTGCAGTAAAGGTATCTGTTTATCTGAGTTAATTTAAGTATCATTACCTATGAAGCACAGACACCCATATCATAGTCGGACTCGTGTCGGACGTGCAATAGAAGTGTCCCTATTTAAAATAATAATAATTTATTAAGATATGCCGTCGACACGCTGCTGACATGTCGGAGGACACGGCTGTTGTGCATATATGTGTATCTGTTCAACCCAGATGCTTAAAGTTGAGATATAATAAATCTAGAGATAGAGGAGATAAGAGAGGAATGGCTGGACGAGAGATAAAAGGTCTGAGAGCTGTGATACTGTTAATGAAGGAGAGAGATGGAGATGGAGAGAAGAGAGGAGATGGAGAGAGTTTTAGTACCGGGAAAGGAGGAGAATGAGGGGATAAGATCAGAACCTTTCAATCTTATCGTGTCTTTCAACTTGTTTGGTTAAAGGGATAAAAAATTGTGCCTTGGACACACACACACACACATATTAGTATATTACAAGTATTTATATTTTAATGGAATTTGGGCATATTAACCATTCTGTTTTTCAAAAACAATATATGCTATTTGGTGGAACTAATTTAAATAGGTTGTGTTTAGGAATATAAATATAAAATTGAGAAAAAATTAAATATATATAAAAAATTATATTGCCATATCCTTGCGGTGTCTATGTCCTATTTTTTAAAAATTTGCTGTATCGCCGTGTCGTACCCGTGTCTCGTGTCTCGTGTCTCGTGTCTGTGTTCATGCTTCATAGATCATTAATGAATTTTTCCTGATTTAAGTGGATGATTGGATAGAAGTAGTGCTTATTTATCCAATTCATTCTATTTTGTAGTTTATTGATTGATTTTTAGTGAAAGCATGCTTAGCCCTCTTACAGAAAGATACCTGGATCTTATATGAATATAGAGAGAATTTTTGTGGTGTTCCAAATCATGGGGGTTAGCTCTTGAAAGTCTTCATTAGCCTATACCTGTCACTGCGTGTCTCTTTATCATCATCATCCCTTTATATCGCATGGAGATGGGGTAGGCCACTGTGTGTCACTTTATGATATTAAGGATTAATACCATCATTTCTCTTAGAGAAAGAAGTGGGACCTTATTATTAGTTTATCCGTTTTTACTTTTCTTCAAGTATGGATATAGTTCATAGTTTTGTGATTCATATAACCAGTCTTCAACTTTAATCCTCTTAGAAAACAATAATGTGGGAATTAGTCCTCCAACCAACCCCACCCCCCTACCCCCCGCGGCCAATCCCCCTTTTCTCTTTCCCTCCATCAATGAACTAACAATGAAAGAAATGATGTTTTGGTGTTTATGCAACCGTATCAAGTTGGGCAGGGTCTTTCTCGTTTATCCTTTACAGGTTGCCTCTTCTTTAGAGTTATATTACCTTGTTAAATATAATAAAGTGGAGACTTTTCTTTTATTCTTATTCTTGGTTCATGTCACATGCTCTTTTAATGTTAATGATTGATTGTGTCAAATTCCAGCCTTCCTAAGATTTGGTGCAATTTGGCACATAACACACTTGAAATGGGTCGAAGCAAAACCCCAACTCATCTACCTATTCTTTCTTAAGCCCGAGGTTCTTTGACCGGGCCTTGCATATTTCCTCTTCCTACTTGTGCTTCTTTATCTTCATCTGGCACATGATGTCACATCTCTTATATTCTTCTCGATTTCCCCCTTTATTAATTTGCAATCTCTGTCCTGTCCTCTCGTTATATCTGTTACTCAAGCCTAAACAAGTTAGGTCCTATAAGTCTAGTCCTAAAATGATGCAAGATTGTACTAAAGCAGAATGAGTTTGCCTCTCCAACCCTCTCTGCGACATCCTAGATGTCCAATTGTTTATTCAGATTAAATTGTTAAAATCACCTATTCAATATTATTTTGATCAAATCTTCATATCCAAATACCACATGATGTTCATTAAGAAGTTTTTAAGATCTTATAAAGCAATTCAATTTTAAGAACTTAAATGGTAATACTTGAAGGTGAATATTTGACAAAATTTGTATCTCAAAATTGTTTTAAAATTATAAAAATATTAAAAGTTTGTAGAACTTTGGGAAAGGTTAATAAGAATAGTAAAATAAAAATTAGGGAAAATTTGATTTTAGTGATCAAACCTAGACATAATTGCTTTGCAGTGACCATAAAGTAAAGAAAATATGAAGAGTGACCAAATGAAAAATTAATTGCTAGTAAGTGACCATTCAGGTTTAATTTTTTCAAATTACTTAGTTATTTAATAAAAAATGGTAAGGTCAAATTACAAAGGTCAACGGCGGGAGGAGGAATTAGATCTATCGTTGAATGGTGTATGGAGAGGGGAAGGCATTGACAAGGAAGAAGAAGGTGGAAATGCCGGCAGCAGAAGTGATTGGAGAATCTTGTTTTTTTAGATGAAGAATAATCCCGTCCCACAAAAATTTTCCCTTTCTGGTAATCCAACTTTTTAAGAGTGTAGTTTTTAATATATATATATTTTATTATAGTAGTATGGAATGAATTTCCAAATATACCCTTCTATGGTGGGTCCACGTGCTTTTATAACTTCAAGGCAAGGAATATTAAAAAATAGTACATTGGATTTTGAATTGGGAGTTTGGGACTATAGTTTTGGGATAGCCAAAAATTGAAAAGGTGGACCCTTTTTGTGGGACGGAGGGAGTATTATTTTGAGTAATTTTCTGGTCACAATCTGAAGCAATGGTGGTGGTCATACGTTGCTCCTGCATTCTTCTCCCACCCAAACGTCTCTCAGATTTTTCCGATGAACACAGATGCCCGACCTATTTTCCACCAAATTTCACTCGTCCTGTCAGGGACTCTAACTCGCTCTCTCTCTATATATATCTATAATATACTGTGATAAAATATCTTTTCTAACCTTTGATTTACAGTTTCTTTGGGGTCAATTGAAGTCGGTCTATTTCGAAAGATTTTTGTTTTTTGCTTTTAGTTTCTTTTGAGGATGTTGTACATTGACTGAAGCGCTCTGCATTTTTCTGAAACTAAAGGCTACCAAAAAGGATGAGAATGTGAATATTGTGGGCCTCAAAATTATTTTTAAAAGTTCAGTTGATTTGTTGGCCGGTTTTATATGTGATAAGATTGGGATGGGGAGGTCATTTATGATTTGATAAGGCCTGTTCGTGTATAAGGTGTGCACAAAAAAAAAAAAAAAAAAAAAAAAGAAGAAAAAAAATGTTTAATGTATAAAATTTAAAATTATACATAATGTATTATAAGAAGGGCATTTATGGAATAAATAATCAAACGGTGACTTCCTAGCAATTAAGTTTTGAATTTGGTGACCATTCATTTTTTTTTTTACTTTATGGTCATTTTAGAGCAATTTTGTTTAGGTTTTTGATCACTAAAATCCAAGTTTCCCTAAAAATTAGCTAAAAATTAATAAGTCAATATGGCAACTTTGGACAAGGTTGGATTTGGTTCCTACAAGTTTTCAATTAATAAATATACATACCATTTCCTTCGTCAAATGGCCTTGTTTGAAATTTGAAATTTTGCATTGTGAGGAAGGGAAAATTGAGGGATAGGAAAGGTCCGAAGGATCCATCTGTTTAGTAAGGAGGTATGAAAAGTGTTAAAATGAAAGTGTCTTCTCCATCCATTTGGTAAGGAGAGGAAGAAAAATGATGATACGTTATTTGCATATTTTATTAACGCAATGGTGATGTTTGAAGGGAAGATATGGTAGGAAAAGGAGTCCCTCTTTTTCCCTCCTCTTTTGGATGGTTTTTTTTTTTTTTTTAAATAAAATTTTGTTTCTATACTGTTCAAAATTTCTACTGTTTACTGTGCAGGCGCATTCGTTGGATGTTCTTTAGGAGGAAGTATTGTCACAACCCGCACACGAGAGAATTCCCGATTCTATGGTAGCCACTCAATAAATGCATCTGATGTTCTTCTTGGCTCATTGCCTAGGCCACCTGCAGCTGCCGTTCTCTATCGTGCACTGGCAGATTTATATCATAAGTTTGAGGGGTGACAATCGTGTTTTGTGTATAATGCTGATTTTACAATGGACTTTGAAGAATTAAAATGGAGATCCTCGGGGATCACTGGCATATTTGCTTTGCTTCTCTGTGAATAGTTTTTCACCACTATCCATTGGTCCATGTAAATTCATTTGTAAATTGTTGTACAGTATGCCTTGGGAGGAAGAAAGTCTGTAAATAAAATATGTAACTACTAACAGCAAATACTGTGCCAAACACCTAATTGGCCCTGTTTAAATTGTATATGAACTGCTATGGTTGGACAACAGAGATACCTGACCAAATCAGCCAATTATATTGTTTGTGTTTCTCCTGGGTTGTTTAATTCCTATTATATTGTTTGTGTTTCTCCTAGGTAGTTTGAATTTCCTGTTCAAAATATGCTATTGTTTCTGAACCATCTCCTAAGAGTTAGAAAAGTCAAATAAATTACATTCAGGAATAATTACATGGTCACTAACAACATTTTCATCTGCTAAGGGTAATATTGTTTTCGACATTTTGCTTGAACATTTAAAAAATAGCATGGTCTTGATATAATGATTTGCTATTTTGAGATGAAATTAACCTGCTAAAAGAGTCTTACATTCAATATGAAAATGAGTCAAATGACTATACATATAAATTGATTTGAGTTTTGGGAGGACTTTCTAGCTAATTTGGTATATAGTTTAAGAGATTTGACGGCTAAAGCCTAGTATCTATACAAGTGTGATTACAAATCAGTCTTGTGAGTAGGATCTAGAATGCTCAAAATAAATATATAGTAATCTAGGCTATCCCATGCAAATCTATACTACAACTCTACACCAAGTGTAGAGAATTCTAGAATGTCTTTCTCAAGCATAGGCATTCATATCATCATCTGCCGTGGGACTCCATGGCCATGGCATAACATAACTTCCATGGCCCAATTTTGCAGACCCCACGCAAACAGTTATTGTCTATCGTTGGCCTCTATGGTAGAATCAGTCAGGGACCTGAGAGGTGGTGGTTTATTCATGCGGCGGATGTCCAAATCAGTCAGGGACCTGAGAGGTGGTGGTTTATTCATGCGGCGGATGTCCAACTCGTAAACTTAGCCGATACAAAGGCATATGATAGCACCCAAAGATCAGTAATTTTTGATCTTATGTTCATTGCGAATGTCTCACAACATATTAGTAAGATTTTTTTATTTTTTTTTTTTGATTCCTCGCAATGATGTAAAACTGGCAACATTAATTCTGTGGTTAAAAAAAAAGGTAGAGGTAAAAAAGGTTTACATCTCGTACTGATTCTGATTTCTGATTGCTCTTACAATTAAAAGGATACTGCAAAAATATCGATCGGATTTCACCCATTCTTCACGCAGGAAGTTTTTGAACCGTATCATTTCCATTAGGAATATTAATGTACAATGAAATCAATAAAATAGAAAACAATACAATATAAGTGACACAAGAATAAACAATGACAACACTGAAACAGGTGCAACCACTAGTTATCTATAACGAACCAGCTAATCTTTTTCTTGGATAAGTGATAATCAGCCACTTAATCTTGACATTCAAAATCCATTCCAATTGCAAAATCGAGATCACGCATAACAATCAACACTGGTGTGTATCAATGCTGTAACGGAAAATTCCTTTCCAGGAAAAATCGAGGAAAAAAAAGTAGGCAGATGAATATCTGAAGCAGCGGTGCAAAATTCACCATATGAAGTATTTATAATTTTACTAATAGCTCCGTTTCTTAAGAAGAAAGATCAATTGCTCCTGCTCTGTATTTTATGCTTCCCAGGTGTGCCAACGAGAACACTTCTTAATGAACATGATAAGAAGTTGTGTGTCGAAATTTGAAACTTGCACCAAGGCAGGGCAGAAACCAAATATTCAATGGACATAAAAAGTTGTCTCCTCCAATCGCACATCACACTATCTGCAGTGCCATAACAATTCATTAGTAAATTACTCCAAAGGAAAATAGGAACTTACCGCACTGCATTTACCAGTCTCCAGAACAACAACAGACCATATGCTGCATACAGTCAGCAGCAAATTTATACTAACTTTACCTGGTTCTAGAGTTCCCAAGGGTAAGCTCAAGATCATCGGGAACACATTCCTCATGAATCCTCTCTCCTTCCCATGGCTTCACCAGCCCCTTTGTATTACTGCCAAATGCAAACTCAGCTGAAATCACATCTGACATTGGAACATCTGCTGTTTGATCAAAACCCGCTCTAACTGCTGGAGAAGATGTCCCGCTTTGCCCAGGAGTCCACATGCGGGATCCTCCACCTGACAGTGCCTCCTTGAAGTTGAAGCCAAATGGGTTTGATGAGACGAGGCTGAATGTTGGAGACGATGGCCCATCTTGAGGAGTGTGAATACCAGAGAGCCATCCTGATTCAGGAGGGGTCTGACGGCCAGGGCTTGGTGGGGTGGAAGAAGGTGGGAAGGCATAATGCTGCCCGGCCCAGGGAGGAGCAGCAGTTGGATCATCCCAATTGTCCTTCATTCTGGGAGTTCGGGCTGTAGGTGAGCTCAATGGTGGGGTGACTGGAGCACTAATAGAACCTGCATGGACGAAGAGATGATGGGGAAGTTTGGAAGATGCTGAAGATGAACCAGATGAGAGGTTTTTGAGCCATGGAATGAGGGAGTTGGGATCAGCGTTACTATTGGCATTTGCAGCGTAACGGGATGAGACTGGGCTTGGAAAGGAAGATGAAGCAGGGCTTGGATTATAAGACGCACATGGACTTGGGTGGTATGATGAGCATGGACTTGCTGATGCTGACCCACCCGCAATATCCATGCAATCCACAGGTTTGCAACCCTGCAAAATACCGGAGATGATTAGAGGGCAAGCAAAAAACCAAATTCCAAAAACAATTAAAGGTCATTGGGTACTTTACAGCTCAAGCATTGTGATTGCAAATGGAAATGTAGTTTCAAAGATCTCATCAAGTGGCAACTACAAGACATAATACCCCTTTTGTAACAAACTAATATTATTACTTAGTTGGAGCATGCCTCATTACTGCATAGAAAATCAGACACGTGAATATTCATGACATTCATTGTCCTTGTTGCCAACTTGCTATAAGGAATTTTCTGAATGTTTACTCATTCTTTCAATTTTAAGTAGCAAAAATCACAAATTTGTTTATTTAACTTTGGGTTCCTTAGCCAAATACATCACAATAAATTTTCCTTGCCAAAGACAAATGTTATTGGAAATAAATTTATATCACTCAGTGAATCATAAGCCTCAAAAGACTGAGAAGTTCATGAACTAAAAGATTATAAAAAGTGCAGCCAAGTCATTTGGCCGAGTAATAGTTCAATAACAAGGAAGACCATTATACCAAAGTCGGCATTCATAAGGTCAAATTCCCAGGTCCTAGGTTTAACCTTTTAAGTTCATGAAATATCAGGTAAATATCCAACAGCGAGTTCAATTCAGCGCTAAACTTCATCTATTGGATTTATAACCCACCAACGGGCGGAAATAGTGCAAGAGAAGGCCATACTCAACTAAACTGTAGAAGCAACTGTACACATATATTTATATCAGGTCACAATTAGCTTCTAAATTGAAGAAAATTTAAATGTCCTCTCTTTTTTCCTCATCCTCTCTCTACCGGTCTCGAAACCTTGACCTAGGACTTGGGAATTAAGACCCAAAGCCACTAGGACAAAGGTAGACCAGTAAAAATTTCTTCTCTTTAACAGAATCCTTCAGAACTGCTGAAGTTCATGAGCATGGTGAAAAAAATAACAGGGTTTTACTGGTCTTCCTTTGTCCTAGTGGTTTGGGGTCTAACCCCCAAGCCTTAGGTCAAGGTTTTGAGACTGGTAGAGAGCAAAGAAAGGGAAAATAATAATAATAACATAGTTTTTTTTTCCCCATCTATCGGTCGTTTTAGCTGCATTGATATCATAATATTGCTCAAAATAAAAGTAAAAGAAAGGGCAACAAAAATCCTAAGTATCTCAATCTAACCGTCCAACTAAAGAGAGTACAGAACCCCTCATTAGCAGGACACAATTAATCAGAGATCAGCAATGGCTTCCTTAAAATCCAAGACTTCATGCTTCTTCCCCAATGTGTAGGGTTTTCTTAAGCTTGTTAACTGCTGCTACCATAGCTATTCCAATGAGTGCTGGTGCTGCATTTGGTAATAACGAAAATTGGGAAGAGGGGAAAAAAAAGGGAAGGGAATGGAGAGTCTTTCCACTGTTTGGTAGGAGGTGAAGGGAAGGGAAAGAGAAGGAAAAGGAGGAGGGGTCCAGTTCCTTTTTTTTAAAGCTGATATGGGTTTGTCTGATTTGTTTAAGCAGCACCTAGAGAAGATCGGATCCAGTTCCTTCATTTGATTAATAACCTTGAATTCCACAATCACAGCTTTTCCAATTGGAAGAACAAAAACGATCTCAAACTTCAAGTGAACAGAAGGAAGTCAAAGATCCACGTTGTAAAGCTTTGGAGATTGGAGGCCCTCTCCATTGAGTAATTTTGACATATTTCATGACATTTGGCTTTCCTTATTAAATGAGGATGTAAATATGATCGGCTGTTCTGATTTCGACAATAGCATCTGAAGGCCCATTACTAGGATATCAAAAGCTTGATTGTGATTGTGTATTGCTAGGAAATGTACTATAGTTTTCATCCACAGTGAGATCTACGCATTTGATCAAATCCCATATTCAGAACTCTTGTTTCAATTCTCACAGTACAACATAAAAGCAAATGTAGATGGCATTATGATGGCAACATGGCAATTACACCCAAACTAAAAGTTACTTGAAAGGAAAATATTAATGTCAATTATGACTATATTACTTCCACATGTTATCTACCCATCATGACTCAATCAACTATAACTTCTTGATCCAATTTAATACAAGCTCTCAGGCTCCACTTAGTAAGAATATAATATATTTAAATCAAAGGTGGTTCTATTCTGGCGATAAGGAGCTATCATTTGTCACGAAACAAAACCCTTGGTTAAAGTATCATTACAGGACATCAAGAAACTAGTCTTAATTGTGGTTGCTGATATTCTATTTCATAATCCAATACCTGGGGTGTAGCTCCCATCCAGTTTGTTACCTACCACTGCCCTCCTGTAAATCCAATGAGACCTAAATCTTTCCACATTAGCTATAAAAAGGGAACTGGATCCCATCATCTCTAGGTGCTACATAAACAAATAAAGCAATCCAATGATTATGTAGTTGTGAAAAAAATCTATCATCTGTAACGAAACAAAACCCTTGGTTAAAGGATCATTATAAGGCATCCAGAAACTAGTGTTAATTGTGGTTGCTAATCTTCTATTTCGTGTTCCATAAACTGGGATGTAGCTCCCCATCAAGTTTGTTACCTACCATGGCCCTCCTATAAATCAAGTGAGACCTAAATCTTGCCGTGAGACCTATAAATCTTGCCATATCAGAATGAAAAAAGGAACAGGGTCCACTAATCTATAGGTATTACTTAATCAAACCAAGCATATCAATGATTAGGTAGGCATTGATATCCCAAGTAAGACAGTCAAACTGTAGGCTCCAATCCTTTTTACCCTTCCACAACACATTTACAACATTTTTAGTACTCATAAATGAATGGTAAGGTAGAATTTGAGGGCCCCCATGGAACAAAGAGTGATAGAATCTAAATTATCGATGCACGGTGCAAGTGCGTAGTAGTCAAAACTCAAAAGGGTATAAATAAATCAAGATGTAGGGTATAACTATTGATTGTGGAGGCAGTTATAGGCCCCACGTGGGTCCTCCCACATGGATTAAAGATCTTTTGACCACAATTTGTTCCTTTACTAGGTGTGAATATTAGAGAGGTTATCTCATGTGACCATCACACCATGTGACGGTCACTATGATTTCACCATTCACAGTGAATTATATGAATGGTCTACCATAATGGCCATCACACGGTGCGATGGTTACATGAAATAATTCCTACTAGAATCATCACTATTTAGTCAAACGCAGACTTTATTGCTGCTCTCTGCTTCTACCCACAAGCCCGTAAGCCAAAAGAATGTAAGTTGTGGAAGGTAGGCCATAACGACAACATGGAAAAGAGTAGCGCTTTGGACATTTTCGACACTATTCAGCTTCTTCCGTTACATGAGATGGGTGTGCGTGTTGTTCTCTGATAACTATACCCAGTCCAAAATTTTCTCAAGGGAAATGATAACATCAACTATGATTCTAGAGTGCTCACCGCGACACATTATTTCAGATTAGTAATAAAATTGAATTCAACATAAGCCTATGCGCTCACCCAAGTGAAAGAAATGTCAAAGGAAGGAATCCAAAGATTGGATGTCTCTTTTCCTTCCTTTCTCAATCATATGATAAAAAATAAGAAACCAATAAAGAAAAAGAACAGCAAAGGCCCACACACCGAGTACCACCCCACAACAATTCCACTCTTGACAAGAAAAAGTGTAAAGCAAGAGAACCCTGATTAGCTAGATTACGGGAGTAATATTTATATTCAAATTTCCTAATTGACCTCAAATATGTCACTGTGTGAAGACACTTGAGATGGCAGTTTCACTGTAAAAAACCGAGTTGAACTTGAACTCCTTTCAAAAAATGGCAGAGAGAGATTGGTTGGAAATTGAAACCTTCACTAAAGGAATATATACATATATATGTATAGAGAGAAACTGTAAAATAGTAATTTAACATCAGTTTTTTTTTTTTTTTTTGGTGGGGGGAGTGGATGTAATTAAAAAATTCAGGAGGGCAATTTCAAAATTTTAAAGAATTATACATACAAAAATGCAATTTTTTAGAAGTTGGGGAGGGGGTAGGGGGTAGGGGACAGGGATGGGAATTTTCCCCAACTCGGAGGATTTCCGCCCTGCCCCTAATGGGGCGGATTTTGTAACCCCCTAAATGGGATTGGGGTGGGTATGGTAGAACAATTGAAAAACCTAAGTGGGTTTGGGGCGGGGGCAGATTTAGTAATGAACCCGCCCCGCCCCCGCCCCGATTATATATATACCTTTAATTATATATATATATATATATAATATTTAATATTTTTAAGCCGAGTCACTTATTTGTTAGCCCAATTTGAGCACATTAGGTAGTTTTTTTTTTTTCCCTCCCCCCCCCCCCCCGGGCCTGCAATTAAACGGAGTACGCTGGGCGGAGTTGGCATTTTGTTTACCAGAGTAGGGGCGGGATGGTATACCAATTACAAACCCATCCCGTAGTAAGGACGGAATTGGTACAACAAATTTTCTAACGGGTGAAGTAAGGTTTTGCCAAACTAGCCCCAACTCCCTTTGTTACCTTCCCGCGAGAGGCGCGCACATGCACCCCCTAGCCCTTAATTGGCTCCATTCATGCTCCTCTCTTCTATCCTTCCTTCCTACAAAACATAACATAAAGCCATAGCCTCAGTCAAATCACATGCTATCATATCCTTATTTATTAACTCTACCCCACCTTAGCCATCTTCTTCCTTCCCTAATAAAAAATCTCTAATGGTATGGAGTATATACATAAACACTTAGACATATATATGATATAAGAAAATGTCTTTCTACCTTAGTCGGGGAGAAGCTGACAAGACACAGGGCCCTGGCGGGGCCACCAACCATGGTGGAGCCCACCAGGACCCTGTGTCTTGTCGGCTCCTTCCCAGCTCTAAAAGAATAGCAAGAATCTATGATATAACTTCTTTAGGAAGCTATACCAACATAACTTCCCAATGAAGCTAATTTCCAATTTTGGAAGAAAAGTAAACTTCCTTTATTATACTTTTCCTTTTTATCTTCCAAAGTTGAAATTAGGGGAGTGTCTCTACCAACTAGGCTACCCTGCTCAACCCCATATCATTATATCTCTCTCACACACACACACAAACACATATATATGCCATGTGTGTTAACGTTACTCTACTTGAGCAACATATTTTTCGTAGTTGGTTGATTGTTACCATATTTATATTTGAATTTTGACTTTCTTAGTAAAATACTTGTAGAGCAAGTTTCTCCTATTATTTAGGTAGAATTCTTTTCTTGTAGATCAAATATCTCCTATTCGTTATGTCTCTACAAGAACTTCTACCTAAAGAATAGAAAAGACTTTCTCGACAAGTCCTTTTTTATGTTATTCCTTTTTATCTCCCGAAGTTCGAAAATCTTCCATAAGAACCTATATAAACATACTATAATATATATATATATATATATATATATATATATATATATATACACACACATACCACATGTATATGTATAAGTATATTTATTGTTATAGATTCTCCATTATTACAAACTTTTCGTGTACTCATTGTACTGTTGTATCGTGCAAATACATATATCTATACTATTATATTATTAAAAGTATAAGGTGTTTCAAATCATTGACTTATAGTAATATTCTTGTAAAATTCAATAAAAGGTCTAATTAGAGAATAAAATATATAATATTAAAAACTAATTTAAAAATATGGTAGTAGAAAATAATTATAGTAGTAAAAACTAAAAATAATAATATAGTAGTAGGAAATTTAATTAAAGTAAAAAATATATAATATTTAATAATTGAATTACTGAAATTCAATAAAAGGAAATCTAATTAGAGAAGAAAATATATAATATTAAAAAACTTAATTATTTAATTCAATAAAATAAAAATCTAATTAGAGGAGAAATACTAATAATAATATAGTAATAGGAAATACTGAAATTCAATAAAAGAAAATCTAATTAGAGAAAAAAATATTTAATTTATTTCAATAAATACATAACAAAAATTATATATAAAAATATACCAATAAAATCCTAAACTAAGAATTATATATACAAATTTATTTTATATTAATTTTAATTTTTATAATGTTAATTATTTCAATAAATAATATGTCTTTAAAATACTTTTATATATAATAAATAATAATACAAAATTATTCTTATATATTATTTTTGATCCTTACAAATTTTTTACTTTATACACACACTTCCTATATATATATATATATATATATAAGCCTTTCATGTATTGTTCTTGATATAAAATATTCAATCACCTTCAGTACTTTAAACATGCCCTAACAGGCATAACACATTTATGATACAATGCTGGAGGATAATGAATGATAAGGTAACAAGGCCCTAGGTAACATATATGATACATCAAATTGTTTTGCTATCAGTATTTGTGGGCCCCACATGGGACCAAGAACACTAAAATATCAATTGTTGAAGTAATGCAACAAATATTTTGGAGTCAGCCATAGCCCCACATGTCCTAAAAATGTGTACACAGCTATAAGCCCCATCTGTCAATATGTATTTAGTAAATCAATATGTATACTTATAGATATCAAGTATACGTATTGATTGTGAAGACAGTTATAGGCCCCAAATGTCCTAAAAATGTTCCCACATGATAATTGTACATACTGACCACAATGCGTTGCAAAGCTCATGAAGGTTCCCATGTAGAGCTGCGATTTCACCATTCATAGTGAGTCCAATGAATGTCTCTCACAGTGACAATCACACAACATGATAGCAAAACACAATTCTTCTATACCAACGCGGTGATAACCGACTCTCTCACATAGGGTGTGGAAGCTCTACCACACACATGGTGAGTGACACCCCATGTGAGAGAGTCGGCAATTCCCGACTTAGCTAAAACAGAATTGCTGTTTAGTAAAAATCTATCAACTTTTGGTATAAAGCATGTGTTTCTTCTCTCTACTATAGTACTACTTCCCATCCAAACCCAAAAGTTAATAACACAAGCTGAAGGAAGGCTTGCCACAGTGTCATTGGCAACATGGTAATGACTAATAAGTAGTCCCTTGAATATTTTTGCTAAGGAAAATTTTAAAATTGTCAACACCCGACTAGCTAGTCAGCTAGTCCGATGTCTGTCGATAGGGCCAACAGCTTTGTGAGACCCAATTCACGCATAGCAATACTCTTTTGCCACTATCCAACCTCACAATTGCATGATAAATGTAATTGGTCAAAAAGTTTTCTTTTTTTTTTTTATAAAGGGAAAATGATAATGTCAACTATGATTATACTGGCCACCAGGCCACCACAATCCGTTCCCTAACAAAATTCAATCCAATATGTCACACGCTCTCCCAAATGAAAGAAAAGTCAAAGAATGAAAGAATCCAAAGATTTGATAACTTTTTTCCTTCGTATTTAATCATAGGACAATAAACAATAGCCTAATAAAGAAAATAATAATAATAATAATAAATAAATAAATAAATAAAAACAGCAACGGCCCACAAACCTCTCACCACCCAACAACAATTCCACGCCTTGACAGGAAAAGGCATTTCCCCGCGAAATTCGGAGAAAGCAATCCCTGACCAAAATTACCAAATTGACCTCAAGTATACAACTACTCGGAAACTGGAATCTCCACAAAGAGTAAAAAGAGAAAAAGATATATAAATATAGAGAGAGAGTGTGTGTGTGACAGACTGTAAAAATTCTATTTTAACATCAGTCACGGTACATCAACTCAGAGTTCAATCTAGGAGATGAATGGTACTTGAAATGACAAAACTGCCCAGATTAATAAGAGCTCTACAGACTTTAATGAACTAAGCGGAAAGCATTGAGGAGGGGCAAGGTTGTCTAATGATCTTTACTTTTTGGCTGATTGATAGAATCTTCGTGTTTCGTGCTTTCAATGAAAAATCAGAGTCGGAAGTGATCTATCATACGCCGGTTGGACAAACAACCAGACTACGTAACCGGTACTTTACGGACGGTATCTGACGATCTTTCAAGAGAGAAAGAGAACAGGTAATTGCTTACTACTGATTCTACAATTTCGCTCTAGATACGAGGCGAAAAGAAGAAAGAGTGATTCTTACTAGCTAACTTACGCAATATGATACCGCGCGTGTTAGCAGACACCATAAACAGCAATTTGAGCTCTGATTTATAGAATTGAAGGGAAAAAAGCCTCAAAAAATCGTAAATAAATAAAAGACGCTGGAAAAACAAGAAATTTAGATCTGGTGACCTACAACACTGGCGCATTTTATCTGCTATGCAGACAGGTTGCTAAACTACGCACGTATCAAAACCATATAGAGCTAACAAAATGTAAACAACAGACTAGAGAGAGAGAATGAAATTTGATGTTTACCTTTCTGTAAGTGGTGCCATCTTCTTCGACGGTCCAACCAGCTTCGTTGCAGAGAGCCTTCAAGACCTCGTTGTTGTCGCAGTGCTTAGGGAGCTTGTAGTTCCCGTACATCCTCAGCCCAGCGTAGATCTTCGCCGCGATCGCTCGCCGCCGTCTCTCTCTCCTCTTGTTGTTCTCTCTCTCCTTCCATGTCGGAAGCCTCGTCCCCGACGTCATACCACCCTCGCACAATCGGAAAACCACTCTCCAAACAAACCCTAACAAAATCAATACATGCGAACCGAATCGGAAGCGAAACTTCGGTACCGGAAAACCGGGTTCTGGTATCGGAAAGCGGGAAGGGTTTGAGTGAATCGGTTTGATGAGTCTCAGATGATCTGATGGAAGTGGTAATGAAATAAACAGCTAAACAGGGTTGTTTGTTATATTGGGGCATGGATGATGAGAAAATTTACGAGAGAGCCACTTAAGCTTTATCCTGGAATTGCGGGTCTTTGCACGTGTTTAGTCTTTTGAAAGGAGAGGGAGGTGGAGGTGGGAAAATTATTGAATACCCGGGTACATACCCCGGACATACCAACCCTTGGATGTAGTGGAGTCTACCATCACATTCATAATTCAATGGTCCTCCGGAGTACCATATAGCTGGGGTGTTCAATAAACTCTCGTGGAGGTGAGGGCAAGTTCAAGGAAAGAGAAGTCTATCAAATAAGTTGGAATTCGGGTCGGGTCGACGAGTAATATTATCATCCTCTTTGTAGTATTTTCGTACAAGTTTGCTTGTATCATGTGGATTTGAAGATTGAGGGCATAAATGTAACTTTACCAGAGGAGAACTAGATCTATGACCATAGATTAATGTGGGAGAATTAAATTGTTTTCCATATAAAAATGATTAGTTTAATAATTGGGTCAGAAATTACCAAATTTATTAAACGGGTTGTTAACGTTAATTTGTTTAATAATTTATTTACTAAATTTTATATTATTTAAAGAAGAAAAACAATACAAGTCTCATTCCGACCAAAATTTCTAAATAATCTCGTAATCCACAAAATAGTAAATTAATAGGTAGCTATTACATAAACCAAATATTTAAAGTAAGGAGAAAAATGTTCAAATAACTCTAATTACTTTAAAATCATGAGGTTGATATGGCAAGAGTTGTTAGAAGTTAGATTATTAAATGCATAAAGTAGAAACTTGATACTCCAAAGTCCATTGAAGGCACTAACTCACTACTCATTAAAATTAATCTCTCAAATGTCCACTATAAGAATATCGTTTTCCAAGTGAAACATCGTGAAAGTACTCATTCACTGGACTATCGTGACATCTGTTGTTGGGGTTTATGTTGAAATGATTTAATTGCTCATAATAATTGAATCTAAACAGGACAAGGACATATTATATTCATGATTATAACACATTAAACTAATAGGGCATAAACCGTACCGGTTGAATTGCTCAACATAACACAACACGATTACTTAAATAGATTAATTGTGTCGAACTGTTTTCGATCTGAACTCGATTAAGATGAATCCAAACTCGCTTATCTCGTGTCGTATCACAATTTCTCTTACTGCAAATCTGTTTGTAGTGAATATAATATTTAGAGGTTACTTCTCAACTAATTAAAAAGTATATTATGATTTATGTTTAAGTATTATTTTAAAAACTTAATATAGAGTTCAAGGTGTTAAAGTTCTAAGTGATAATTGTAAATTAAAATTTTTAAAATATTTAATTAAATAAATATTTAATTTATTCATAATTAAGAATTAAATTGAATAATCAACCAGCACTTAGTTGATAAGTCAAAATTTGAACCCATTATGGCATGTTAATAATTTAATAAATTTACTAGTCAATTATGAATAGTGTTGAGCTCGACTGTTCTTACACTGGATCATGTGAACGTGTCTAGCCGTATACGTTGAGTACTCATTAATGCTTTAATGTATGAAAGGTGGGGGGATTTTGGACTTTGCACAAAGTGTATATATATATATATATATATATATATATTAGATTAAAAGTGTTTTGTGTTTGAATACAGGCATTTGAATCTCTCTCAGGTCTCAACTGACCCAAAAATGAATTACCAGCATAGGTGACATAAAGTTTTGTCAATTGGAGAGCGGAAGTATATATATATATATATATTAGATTAAAAGTGTTTTGTGTTTGAATACAGGCATTTGAATCTCTCTCAAGTCTCAACTGACCCAAAAATGAATTACTAGCATAGGTGACAAAGTTTTGTCAATTGGAGAGCGGAAGTGTGACGGCAAAATTAAATTATAAATTTAAACAAAAGTGAGAACACACTTGAAGTGTAAAATCGACACTTATTAAAAAAAATTATTTGGCTTAGAATATGAGTTAAAATTACACTAGAAAGACAATAATAAAATCATGGTGATACGGGGAAGGGTTGAAATTGAAAGAGAAATTGGAAATTGAGCTATGCATTAGCCCCCAAAAATTAAATGTTTAGTTACAATAAGATAGGTATATTTTTATTGCATTAATGAACCCATTTGTCTTTCCAGGGTGAGCTAGGGTTTAGGAGGAGGGACCAGCCTTGTTCTAGGGGCACGTATCCGGCGGGGCCTCCTTCATGCCGGCATGAACCAGTGCCCTGTCACTTGTCAGTGTGTGCAGGGGTGTGTGTGTGTTGGTTCAGCAGTACTGGGCTCACTGATTATTGGGGTTGGCTAGGTGTCTCCTCCAGTGTGGCAGCGCCATGAAAATGAGTTCCTGTTCACTTTCTCCCCAAACACCAAACCCTTTTTTGTTTTAACGGTAACTTCTGGGAGAAGTTATTGTAGCAGTAATAGTTTCTTTTAAGGATCGGTTTGTTTATTATTATGTAACACTTTTTCATGTTGATTTTATTTTATTTTTTCGTGCTTGGTAAAGGTTTTAAAAATATTTTTGATATCCGGTTTAAAAAATATTATTAAATTACAATTGAAATTATTATTTGGGTAATTGATTATTCAATTTTTCTCTTATTATTAATTGGTCCAATTATTTTTATACCAATAATAATAATTATTTGATAGAAAATATAAAAAAATAATCAATTGATTTTTTTTTTTATTTTAAAAATTGATAAGGAAACCGAAACAAATCTATCTACCATGAAATGCAACAAGTGAGTTTTTTTTTTCTTTTTTTTTCACCACTTCACACGTTACTTTTTAAAGTTTTTGAAAATAATATTACAGGTTAATCTAGTAAAAATGACAAAAAAAATATAATAATAAAAATAAATTGAAGAAACCAAAAATAAGAAATTGTATGATTGTTGTTAAATAATAGATTGGTCTCGTGTCTCTTGCTCTACAATAGGTATTGGGCTTATTGGTTTTTCTTTTAACCGTTGTTTTGTTTCTGGTCACTATAACAAATGTTAAAGGCCTCATATCTTTTTCTCTCTAAAAACTCTCTTTATTAAAGGGTTTCTTTCTTTCACACATAATGGATCGAAACAAGAGTGTAGTGTCAGTTCTCAGTCCGTAACTTAAGTTTCAACACATTATTTTAAATTAGAAATAATACTGTTAAAATTAAAAATAATGATATTAAAATTAAATTGTGTTTCAACCTAAGTCAAGGGCAAGAGCCAAAAAAATTGTAAAATCTAAGTCACACATAATGGATCAAAGCAAGAGGCGTAGTGTTAGTTCTGGTTTTGTGACTTAAGTTTCAACACATTATTTCAAATTAGAAATAATAATGTTAAAATTAAAAATAATAATATTAAAATTAAATTTAATTGTGTTGAGCACAACTAAGCATGGTGTTTTGCACTCCACAATCCAGACTCTGATAAATATATATATATATATATATATATATATATATATATATATATGAGGTATTTCAAAGTCGCGACTGACAGACGCAAAAAAAATAATCAACACAACACAACGGCTCATGTTAGTACAGTATGTGCTATTTCATGTGCAGCAACTAACCTTGTACCAAAAAACAATCAGCAATTTAAAAAAAAAAAAAATGGCAAAATATTAAAAACAATTTTTTTCTGCCCACAAAAGTTTTACCAGAGCCCAATTTATTGATTTCCGTTGAGTTGGCCTTAATAATTGTTTTTTGAAAATAGTTCTAAGTTTATTTATTTATTTATTTATTTATTTCAAGTACAATTATACGACATCACTTTCTTCTGAATTCAATTAATCAAATTCAAATAATCAAATATTTATGTTCACAAAAGTTGCATTTTTCTTTATTAACTTATATATTCATCTTCATCCAATCAACTCAAAATACAAAACACTCGTTTAAAAATACTTCTCTCAAAAACTTTAAAGCCATCTCTCTCTGGCTCTTGATTTTTGTGCATATATATTGTAAATAGGATTAATACGAATTATACCACAAATTTTTTTATATAACTTAACAATTAATTAACTTAATAACTTACCATTTAATGAACTTAAATTTAATATAAGTCAAAACTATGTTATATGGATTATAATACCCCCGATTCCCGAATGCTGGTTGGCCAGGCCCACGCCCGAATACCCGAGGATATCAACACAAATTGATAATAAACAAACACAGAGTACAAAAGAATAAAGAAGAATAAATAAAATACTGACAAGAAACTAAAATGATAATCTAATAATAAACCTCAGAATATATTTTCATGAATTAATAAACTCTTCTGATACAACTGATCCTCTAAAATACAAATCGGGAATCCATACTGTGTGGACTCCTAGAAAATCCAAACTAAACAAATGACAGCAATAACTGTTTAAATCAGGAAACTGAATCATAAAGGAACTCCTATGTAGCATCGGAAGAATGAAGTAGACTGATCCCCGCTCAGCACGAACACCCTTTACTCCTGACGAACATCTGAAAAATAATGGTGGGTCAGGCCCACAAACAAGTTCTACTCAACTACAGTCCAAGCAGAGATCCGATACACGTATACATCCTAATCAATCCAATAGTAACTAGTAGTCCGTATATATATATATACACACTAAAGGAACCTCACTAGACTATAGGGTTGTCTCAACCTGAATAGTAGGCAACATGCAAAACGCACATATAGTAGGCATGAGTACCTAGACCTACCAAGGTACACAACTACACTATATCTAGCTACACATCCCTGGCGATATACGCACCCTAACCCCTGATCCTGAGACTCAAGCTCATATCATGGCACCATACTTATATATATATAATCTAGTAACCATCATATTCAGTATAAATTAATCCTCCATAAGTCATTCAATTTGTTCAGCTGACCTGACTTGAATATAAGTAGGACTTAACATTTTAGTTAATCCATTCCCTTATATAATAAATTAATCCTCCATAAGTCATTCAACTTGTTCAGCTGACCTGACTTGAATATAAGTAGGACTTAACATTTTAGTCAATCCATTCCCTTATATAAAATAGGTAGGACTTAACTGATAAGTTAATCCGTCCCTAGAATGCCACCGTCCTAT